CATTACTATAAATGTGTTTTAGCAGAGGCTGCAATTTAAAAGCCCAATGTTTATTTGCTTATTGTAATGACATGTTTTTTTTTAATCCTCTTTATGCATGTGATTTTTCAGATCATCTGGCATTTGGCTATCGGCCATTCAATTCTAGCTTCTCTTCACTGAATAAATTATTAAATTGTTCAGTCTGTAATGTGTCCTGTGGAGAGAAGGGAGTCAATGTTGTAATACTGGTATGTGAATATGATGGATCTTGGTGCGCACTGTGGCTGTTAACCAAAGAAGGTAATCACAGTCTTTAAGGATAAGCTGTATTTTCTTTGATGTTTGCATAACTTTCTGTAAGTGGAATCTTGCTCCTGCCTTGTTATAGATCTATATGAGTAACAATAATGAAAATGAAAAGTTGGGTTTTTATACTGCAGTTTATACTGTTCAGAATAAAAAGACTATTTTCATAAGATTTCCCTTAATAGGTGAACACAATAAACTACTCAGATGTAACTCTGTGTGTCATTCTTGATTCCTTACATAAATTCCTACATAAATCTTGCCTGATTAAAGCAACAACCTGCATAACTATGTATACTTTGTGAAATACTAGGGAGGGTTCCACCTTTGTCCTTTTCCTACATATCAAAGACTCCAAGCTTTGCTTTCTGTTCACCCTCTGGGAGAGGGCCTCTCCTTCCTGGGACTCTGTATTACATTGTTGTACACGTTCTGAGGTTTTGCTTGATAAAAAAAATACAGGAAACCAGAAGTTGCCTTTAAGCTTTACATTTTTATTCAGGTGAACAAAGACGGGCTCCTCTAAAAGAGAGAAGCCCCGAATGACAAGAAATCCTTGTATTTATTCTTTCTGATTACATAAGCAATCCACCCAGCAAAGCTGACACACAAACGATAACGATTTCACCCAGTAAGTCTGACACACTGTAGATAAGAAGGGAGAAAGCAGAAGTAGCTAAAAATGTTCCCTTTTGGGTGTTTCCCTAAAGACATCGTACATTCCCGGGTGGGTTAGGACATTGAGTGTTTTCCTTGCTGTCCTTTCATGCATCCATGACTGCAAGTGCCCAAAGACAGCAGGACAATCTGCACATATTCACAACTGATACTTCCTATGCTGTCTCCTAATTCCGGGTCAACAACTTTCCACTACAGATTATTTTTAATGATCTCAGGTATAACACAAACAGCATTTGGAGCCTATTGCAGGGCTTTTCAACCTTTTCACCCATTGCACCACTTTTAGGATATGGCAACATCCGAGTACCACCAGTCGCCTATCAAGGTGTCAAAAACATGATGACCAAAAAAAATAAAAAAGGAAAAAAGTGATAAAGTACAGGTAATCCTCGACTTACAACAGTTCGCTTAGTGAACGTTCGAAGTTACAATGGCACTGAAAAAGTGCTCCCCAAGCCACAGCCGAGCAAGACACCTGTCTGCCCACCCGACGGCGCTCTTCCTCCTGTCCGAGGTTTTCATTGTTGTGAGCATTTCTGCAGAGGATTGGCAGCAGTGGGGGGTGTGTGTTTGGTTTGTATTCCCCCCGTCTGCTGGGTGGTTGCAGCAGGTTTTGGTCACTCCACATGACCCTGGGACCGTCATAAATATGAATCAGTTGACAAGCATCTAAATGTAAATGATAAGACCCTGGAGATGCTGCAACATTCCAGCTGATGGGGGTTCTTCTGGGCTCAGCAGAAGTGCCAGGATCAGCGCCGAGCTCCAGCTGGAGCCTGGCGCTGATCCTGGCACTTCCGCTGAGCCCCGAGAGTCCCAAAGAAGCGCTGATCCTGTCGCTTCTGCTGAGCCCTGACAGCCCTGCAGCTCCAGCCATCTCTCGCTCAGGCTTGTGCGGTGCTGCCACCGGTTCAGCTCACTCCCCTCCCTCGCTACCACTTTTCTAGGATGGTCACGTACCACCTGCCAGGTGCCAATGTACCACAGGTGGTACCCACACCACTGGTTGAAAAGCCCTGACCTATTGGCTTTAAGATATTCAATCAATCAGGATGTCTCTTGCACAGGGCTTTTTTTCAGCCGGAACGCGGCGGAACCGCGTTCCGGCACCTTTTTCCGGGCCGGCCGCACCGGAAATAGCCCCTCCCAAATTTTACTTGCATTCCTGTTCTCTAAAGGGGCGGTCCTAGGGTTTGATGAGGGCGTGGCCAGGTTTGAGTTCCGCCACCTTTTCTCCGAGAAAAAAAGCCCTGCTCTTGCACTGAAACTGATGGCCAATTATGCACTTGCTCAAGATCAGGTTGACTCTCATTCATGTTACAAAATAGGCCTACGTTACAAAATAGGCCTACAAAATAGGCCCTCTGGAATAGTTTTTTCAAGCTTGAGTTAGTACTAGATTAACTGGAGTGGGGGCAGTGATTTTCCTGATCCTCGGGTGATATACAAGAAAGGGGAAGAATCTCTCATCCTGACTGATTTCTATCAAGACTCTTTCGGTGCCATTTTTTCTTTTCTTTTAAAAGAGATTTATATTGGACCTTTAAGCTCTTTAAGAGATGTGTCCTCTGAAGGGACATTTTTACTTTTTTTACACGCTTTTTCATCTGTGCACAATTCTGATCAAACCAATTATCATTTTTATACCCCGATTTCCAAAGTGTTGTTGTGATAGAAACTGATTTGAGGTTAATTAATGCTTAATGCCATTCTAAATATGGTCAGGAATTCAAAGAACTGATTCTTGAGTTACACTGAAGGTCCACTGGCACCATTCTCAGTCTCCTGATCTTTCCATGAAATATACTGTACAGGTAACATGATTGTCCTCAAACCCTGATGAAAGACCAGAAAGAGTGTAAACTTGTTCCTTTTATGCTGGTATACTTAGGCAGCCTTACTTCTCTATTATATTGCAATTTTGGAAAGTGTCTAGCAAAATTTTTCCAAATGGATCAGTGCCAACTTAACCAATGCTACAAATTAAGCTTATATCTACAGGTAGTGCTCAGTTAAGGATGGTAATTGAGACTAGAATTTCTGCTGCTAAGCAATGTGGTCGTAAAGCACAGCATCACATGATTACATTGCTTAGTGATGGCAATTTTGGCAGTCTTCATTGTTGTCATTAAGCAAATATTGTGGGTTGTTAAGCCAGACTGTCGATGATAAAATTCTTTCACAGCAGTGTATGCTAGGCCCTCTGGCATGCTATTATGTACATGATGATGCATGCATAAATAAAAAAACATAATAGTGCTAGAGCAAAGTAGGAAGACAGCTTGATCTAATAGTATGAAAACAGAAAAGGCAGCTATAAAATTATTGTTGAAAGAAAAATCTTCATCAGGGTCCAGTCCAAGCTGGGAATAAGCAAAATGGAGACTGCTTTAGAAAGAAAGTTGTGGTTTATTAAAGAGCAGAGCCAGACAGAAAGATGGCTCTGGGAAAGCTGACCACATGTAGTAGGGAGTGGTGGGTACCTTCTTGAGCTTTTGTTTGGAGTTGTTCCTGTGACATGAACTTTGACCTGAGTCTGAGGGTGCCTTTCTGTATTCTGATGGTGGTGAGTTAATCCTATTATGTCCCAAATGTCATATCCTGCTTCCCTGGGGCTGTGGCTGATGACTGTTGGATTTTTTTTGTGTGAGGGACCTTTGTCTTTCTAATCCCAGCTTCCTGGCTCCAATCTTTCTGACAAGATTATCACATCTGCATTTCTGCAGACCTGGTTTCTTTTTGGGGCAGAGAGACTTGGTGGGGAGGGGGTTGGTTTCTGCCTTTAAAATCCTTTGGGGAAATGTATTCTGCCTTTTTAATATTTCCCAAAATATTTCTTTCTCTGGATTCTTCCCACACTATGATTCAGTTAAATTTTAATTCAATTTCTGTATTCTATAAAATGTCTGCACTGGCTCCTCCTTTTTCTGTATGTATAAATTCTGCTCATTTCTCTGTATGGGATTTTTTTTTTTAACAAGTTCAGAGTTTGCTTTTCTCAGATCAAATCTTAATCTGTTCATTGTAATAGGAATTGACCAACTAGCTTATCTCCAGAGCCAAGTGTTGTGGACTGAGAGAATAACTAACTCAAAGTAAGCCAGTTGGTTGTCAGCCTAAGGCTGGACCAGAAGTTACAAGTGGCCAGTTTTAGTCCTACTTTAGGTATGAAAGCCAGCTGGGTGACTGGCTCAGTCTTTCTTGCTCAGCCCAATCCACCTCATAGGGTTGTTATTATGGGAAAAATAGGAAGAGGAAAGAGTATTAGGTATGTTTGCTGCCTTGAGTTATTTATAACATATAAAGGCAGGATATAAACAAATAAGTAAATAAATAGTTACTGTAAACTTCATAGGCTTTTTAACTCAGCCAAGGGCTCCCATTTAATGTGAAAAGATACGGGGGGGGGAGAGGAAATCGGCTAAAAATTGCTGTTGATAAAGCACATACAAGGTGGGTTTACTAGCACTGGAGACTTCCATTTTTTTCTTAGCCTTGGAAACTCAGGATGGTTATTGCGGGGCTAGAATGAAGGGGGATTTTCCCTAATACCGTCTCTTTTGGCTTTTGGAAATGCAGGCTATAACTAAATAAATGACAAAGGCAGCCACCCTTCTGAAGCTTGTGCTACTACTACAGTATCCGTTGAGTTATTCCCGACAGCGAGCTTCCAAGGAGCGCTTTGCTTTAACACAGGGGTAAGTCAACCTTGGCTCTTTTATGACTCGTGGACTTCAACTCCCAGAATTCCTGAGCCAGCTAAGCTGGCTCAGGAATTCTGGGAGTTGAAGTCCACGAGTCATAAAAGAGCCAAGGTTGACTACCCCTGCTTTAACAGTCTCTATTACTACAAGCTCTTGCGTCAAACCGAGGAGACGCCAGCGGCAGGCCCCGCCTTTTCTAATCGCGGCGCAATGCCACGAAGTTGAGCAAGAGCCACAAAAGGCCCTGCCCTCTACCTGGCTCACCTATTTTCATCGGCCGCTTAGCAAATTGCCCGTTTCTGTCCCTCTGCTGCCGCCGCCGCCGCCATGGCCTCCGGACCCAAGTCTCTGCTAGGGCACGTCTGCGTGGTGACCGGCGCTTCGCGGGGCATCGGGAAAGGCATCGCGCTGCAGCTCTCGGAGGCGGGCGCCACCGTCTACATCACCGCCCGGCACCGGGAAACCCTGGAGCGAGCGGCGGCGGAGGTGCAAGGCCGGGGGGGCAAGTGCGTGCCGGTGGTGTGCGACTCTACCCGAGAGGAGGAGGTGGCGGCGCTGTTCGAGCGGGTCCGGCAGGAGCATGCTGGCCGCCTGGACGTCTTGGTCAACAGCGCTTTCTCCGCGGTGACCACCCTCTCCAAAGAGATCGGCGTGCCGTTCTGGGAAAGCGAGGCCTCCCTCTGGGACCAGATCAACAACGCAGGCCTGAGAGGCAACTATTTCTGCACGGTTTATGCCGCCCGGCTCATGGTGCCCGCCGGGCGCGGGCTCATTGTCATCCTCTCCTCGCCCGGTGGGCTGCGGTACATGTTCGACGTCCCGTACGGGGTGGGCAAAGCGGCCTGCGACCGCCTGGCGGCTGACTGCGGCGTCGAGTTGCGCCCCTTCGGCGTGGCCTGCGTGTCCCTTTGGCCCGGGCTCGTTCGCACCGAACTGCTCCTGCAGCAAGCGGAGAATGTCGAGCAAGTATTCAAGGACCTGCCGGAGCGGCTGACCAAGGCAGAGAGTCCCGAAGTGAGCGGGAAATGCGTGGTGGCCTTGGCCTCGGATCCCCAGGTCATGCGGCACAGCGGCAAGGTGCTCCTCAGCCCAGACCTTGCCCGTCTCTACGGGTTTAAGGACGTGGATGGGCGAGACGTCTATAATTATATTTCGATTCGGGACACCCTTACCGAATTAATGCCCAAGCTGTCTTTCCTTTTCTGGTTCATTCCCCGCTTTATCACTTTCCCTAAGTGGGCCCTTGCTCTTTATTCCAGCAAGTTTGCGATCTACCCTCCCATTCAGCCGGCCGATTTTAAACCAGCTAAAAAGGACTAATCGTCTGGCGTACCCCTTTAGGAGCATGTTCTGCAACTACGTCAAGCTTTCTTTTGTGAAAAAAATTATTGCTTTGGTTTGTTGGTTTGTTTCGTCGCTTGAAAATTGGGAAGAGTGAGTTCTTGCAGGGAGTTTACCCCTCTAAAAACTCTTTTGAGGAATTGCTTCAGAATTTCCCTCTGAAAAAAAAAGCTTCATGACACCATTTCTTACTCTACGCTACAATCTGCTTTTGTGTTTTTGACACAGCATTAGCTGCTAAGTTACTTAATATTTCTGTACTATCTAAAATGCAAGCTTTGAGGTTTATCAAAGAATCATTCACATATTTGAAAGTGATGGAGCTACTTACAACTAAGAAGTCAAGACACTGGAAAAATTGCCTTTTTGTTTTGCTTTCACCTATGGTGAGGCCATTTATATACTCTGCCATAACCTGTTTGTATCACAGTCTTCTATATTTTGTTTCCATAAAAGCAATTGTCAATTTGGCATGTATGTGATATTCTGAAGATAACGTAAAACAAAAATCTAAACTTTGAAAGAAAAGGGTTCCTCTCTTCCATTCAGTTTTATTGGGGAAGAAATCCTTTTATCTGTATTTTTTTCCAGCCTTCAAGAGATTCCAGAATTCTGTTCATTCCAAAGTCAAATATTAGCAGAATTAGTCCTGATGAAAGAAAACCCTACAGAGACAGTAGTATATTAAGTCATACTGGACACCCAAATCAGCAAATGTAATCAGAGCCATATCAGAGTGGGCATAGAACAAGCTATAAAACATGACAGCTCTCCAGAAAGAAAATTTGCTAAAAAACATTATGAAACAGATAAGCGGGTGTAAAACAAAGTCCTGAATAAGGAGCACAGGCTGAGTGTGTGTGGGTGGGTGAGTAGAATAAGAAACACTTCACCTTTGTTCAGTTTGCTATCTCTGTATAATTCTCAAAGAAGCAAGTTCTTCATGTAGTGAAGGACAAAATTGTTCTTTTCATAAGACAACCATTGTTTGTTCCTAAAAGGTTTAAGGAAGCCGATGTAATTCTTCTCATAAAGTGCCTGCTTGCTTGTTAAGTATTGTATTCTGTGGCCACAAATCAATAAAATTGAAAAAAAAAAGTCACCACTTAGCTGTTTGATTTTCTTGCTTTACCTTGGAATTAAGGAGAAAGTTTATCTTGTAGCCACTTAAAGAGTTTTTCAATAGTTACAACTTTTTCAGTGTTTAGCACTTTTCATCCAATGGAATATTAAAGGCCAGGAAAAATAAGAGAAGATTGATTTGTGAAATATGGTGATATTCCTAAGTATAAGGAGCAGCCTTGGTGTTATAAGATTGTACTAGGGAAAACAACCAGGAGGATATCCATGATATCCATGTTATCTTTTCTCCTAATTGTTCTTGTGCCTGCTCTATTTTTGAAAATTGTGTACCATAATTAGAAAATAGATTTATAAAATTATTTGGGGATTCAGATGTGAAATATGTGGAATTACTCTCAGCAGCTGTGGAGGCTTAATGCTAAAATAATTGATAAAATCAGTCAAATGTGAAAGGCAGCTTTACTTGGAACAGCTTATGTATTATAATGTTACCTTTAATATTATTAAACAACTTCTGCCTACTTTGGGTCCTTGGGAAGGACTCGATAGGTGGATAAAACGGTCTAATCTGAAAATCTGTCTGACTGTGCAACAAACCACATAATAAAGTCGCAGGCCAAGCAGATAACAAGACCTGGCAATGGCTAAGAGCAGGAAAATTGAAGAGACAGAAGAGCTAATTCTGATTGCACAAGACCAAGCCTTAAGAACAAATGCATATAGCCAGAATTAAAAAGAAAGCAGCATTTTAGCAAATGCCACCTCTGTAAAGAGCTGAAGAAACAATGGACCACCCTGTTAGTTGCTGCAAGAAGATCGGACCAACTGACTACAAACAACGACATGACAAAGTAGCAACAACAGTGCATTGGAAGATTTGCAAGAAATACCATTTGCCTGAAAACAAAAACTGGTAGGACCATAAAATAGAGAAAGTAATAGAAAGTGAAGAAGCTGAAGTGCTCTGGGACAGAAAAGCACCTGCCACATAACCCCCAGACTTAACAATTGTCAATAAGAAAGACAAAAAGTCTGGATAGTGGATGTGGCAGTACCTAGAGACAGCAGAATATAAGAGAACTGGGGAAAAGTCACAAAATATAAAAGATATACAGATAAAACGGCTGTGGCAAAAGAAAACAAAGATAGTACCAATAGTTATAGGTGCCTTGGGTGCAATCTGGAGCACCACTTGAACACCATCAGCATTTTACAAAATCACTACCAGTTAATTGCAAAAGGCAGTTTTATAGTAAAACTTAAGTTATTTATAAAAATAATAAAGGCAGGATATAAATGAATGCCAACTTCTTTTTTTCTAATCTTGCAGTCACGCAATGTATTGGCTACTGAGGTTTCAGCAATAGCAAGGAAGAAATCTTTGCTGTAGGATTTCCCATTCTGAGAACATATCTCTTCATCTGTAGAGATGCATTCTATAGCATCTAACTTAGTTTTCCCAGGAACCATAGGAGTGTAAATTAAATCACTTAATTGCTACTTTTTATTTAATAAAACCAACCAGACAGGTTCTAAACAAATCCCAACAACTTCATATTGAAGCAAGGCCATCTGAAAATTGAATATTTTAATAGTCAAGTGCTGAGTATAATGTAAGTCAAGGAATTCAAATATATTTAAGATCTTTATCATTTCCCCTCTTGTAGCTTATTTAGCTAGTTTGAAATTAAGAAAAGAATTTCTGGTTGAATTTTTTTGTTCAGTCCCAGAATTTGCCATGAGGTTATGTCCAGGAATACGAGTGTCTTTCAATATAATTTGTGTTTGCTACTGTAGCATAATTTTTGTTCCTGCAGAAAATAAAATAAAATATATTTTATTTTCTCCTTGATAGCTATCAACAGAACTCAGGTGACAGAAACAAACCAAGGGGGAAAGAAGCAGTCCCTTAAAGTTCTGACACCACCAGCAAATTTAATGAATAGTAAGGGTGCTGTGATAACTTGACAACTATAATAATAATAATAATAATAATAATAATAATGATAATAATGATAATAATAATAATAATAATAATAATAATAATAATAATAATAATAATAATAATAATAATAATAATAAAGTTGGAAGGGACCTTGGAGGTCATCTAGTCCAACCCCCTGCTCAGGCAGGAAACCCTGCACCATTTCAGACAAATGGCTGCCCAGTCTCTTCTTTAAAAACTTCCAGTGTTGGAGCATTCACCGCTTTTGGAGGCAAGTTGTTCCAATGGTTAATTGTTCTGTCAGGAAGTTTCTCCTTAGTTCTAGGTTGCTTCTCTCCTTGCTTAGTTTCCATCCATTGCTTCTTGTCCTGCCTTCAGGCGCTTTGGAGAATAGCTTGACTCCCTCTTCTTTGTGGCAACCCCTGAGATATTGGAACACTGCTATCATGTCCCCCCTCGTCCTTCTCTTCATTAAACTAGACATACCCAATTTCAGCAACCGTTCCTTATATGTTTTAGCCTCCAGTCCCCTAATCATCTTTGTTGCTCTTCTCTGTACTCTTTCTAGAGTCTCAGCATCTTTTCTACATTGTGGTGACCAAAACTGGATGCAGTATTCCAAGTGTGGCCTTACCATGGCATTGTAAAGTGGTATTAATACTTCACGTGATCTTGATTCTATCCCTGTTAATGCAGCCTAGCACTGTTGGCTTTTTTGGCAGCTGCAACACACTGCTGGCTCTTATTTAAGTGATTGTCCACTAGGATTTCAAGATCCCTCTCAGTTACTACTACCTGTACATTTGGTTTTTCCTTGCCTAAATGTAGAACCTTATTTTTTTACCATTGAATTTCATTTTGTTAGATAGCGCTGTGTTCAAGTCTGCCCAGATCCTCCTGTAAGCCTATTTTCTGGAGTGTTGGCTATTCCTGCCAGCTTGATATCATCTGCAAATTTGATGAGTTCCCCATCTACCCCCTCGTCCAAACCGTTGATGTTGGAAGAGCACTGGGCCTAGAACAGAGCCCTGGGGCACCCCACTACACACTTCCATGTAGATGCAGTTCCTTTGAGGACCACACACTGAGTACAGCTGGTCAGCCAGCTATAAATCCATCTGGTAGTGATGCTGTCTAACCCACATTTTTCTATCTTATCAAGTAGGTTGTGATCTACTTTATCAAATGCCTTTACCAAGTCCAAGTAAATTATATCCACAGCATTCCTCTGGTCCACTAATTTTGTCACTTGGTCAAAGGATGCAAGATTTGTCTGGCATGATCTGTTTTTGACAAACCCATGTTGGCTTTTAGTAATGACTTTGTTTGCCTCTAGGTGTTCGCTGATTCGTTGTTTGATTATCTAATTATTTTAGGATTAGCTTTCACAGACTACAGACCACTTTGTCAGGTTCATGCAGTGTAATCTTCAGGGTATATGTGCTTGTGTGAAATAGAGGCAACATACATGCATGAATGTAAGGATTCCAAGACAAATACACTTGTTTTAGAAGGAGGGAGAAGTCAATAACTATAGGCAGTTTTATTATATTTGAACGGAAATGTTTTAAGAGACTAGCTTCTCTATTGCAGAGTATCCATACAATCAAAACAATTTTTCTTCTGTCTTCTTTACATAACCATAATCTAATCAATCTTCCTGTTCTACACCTGTCCTTCATCACCCGACTGTAGGAAGTGAGATACATTTATATGCACAAGCAATTTTCCATCCCTCTGTACGCTTCTAGAATCTTAGCTTTCATCAGTGCTGCCCACATAATAGCAATCACATCTAGACTTATATGCTGCTTCACAGTGCTTTACAGTCCTCTCTAAGCTGTTTAGAGTCAGCATATTGCCCCCAACAATCTGGGTTCTCATTTTACTGGCTTCGGAAGGATGGAAAGCTGAGTCAACCTCGAGCTGGTGAGAATCGAACTACTGAACTGCTGGAAGCTGGCAGCCACTATGATTGCGAGCCTTCACTTCTCAAAGCTGTAATGGTATGAGGGAATGACAATGGAAGTCAGGAAGAAGAGCTGAAGATGGCGTGTAAATTAATATGTAAAAGATGTCTCAGCCCACAGAAGGAGAGAGGCCATGGGAAGAGTTTCAAAAGGGATCCTCCAGAGTTTTCCAGAGAGCAAAAGAAGAAGGGAGAAGTAATTTCAGTTTTGGAAGGTTCCATTAATGTAACCTTACTACAGAACAGAGTTAACCCTCATATTTGCGCTTCTTGTCTGGACTACCTGGAAGGGCTAACAAAGCACAATTATGTGTTTTCTAAAACATGAGAGTGAACTGTACATTAAAGAAGAGAGACATACAAAGTACTGAATCCCAGATCATTAACAGCAGCTAAACAGCAGAATCTCCTTTAAAAGGTTTTAATTTCCTCACCTTAAGATTTCTAGGTTTGGGATCCTGAATGGTTATCACATCCATTAAAAATAATATTGGGGAAAATAACCTCAATATATTTTAATTAAACAAGATATACATGAATCGTGATCTAGGAAAACAGAACATTGTAATCATGATAATCAGTGAAAAGTAGGATTTAATTTCTGTTGCTACTAGGTTAACTTTCAAACACATCTTCCTGTCAGCAATAATAGTTTAAAGGATTTTTGTTTCTCCTGCTATTAAAAATTAAGAAGTGAGGCTGATTTGGAAACCTGAGAGTTATGAATAGTCTTGATTTGGGCTCACAGTACTGTTGCAGAAAAAGATTTCCTCCCCCCAGAATAATGAGAATAGAGATCTGTTTAATGTTCATGTAGACTGAACACACACACATGTCCAGTCCAAGCAAATAAAAAAAAAAGATCTGTAACGACATAGTAACATAGGATATAACATTTGTAACTCAACACCATGCAGAAATCATACATAGGAATTAAATATTTCAATATTTATTTTGAAATGTTTAAAAACTGCTATGTACATCACTCAACAACCTGTCAACAACCCATCACTCAACAGATCTCTTTTGTAGCCTTCAATTTCCTTCATTCTTCAGGAATTCTAATTTCAAGGAATTTTCTGTGCTGTGAAGAACTGAGAAGCCTGCCTACGAGCCTTGTTAAGTGGGAGACACACAAAATAGATAAGTTAGTACAGTACAGTACAGTAATTACAAGAAACAATTCTATTTATTCTAACTCAATAAAATTAACCCAGTGGTTGTGTTCTGCAATACTTACAACTTTTTCCTCTTCTGTTAGCACACCATCCACAGCTACTATTTGATATTGCTTATGCTTTAAGCCTCCTGGAAGTCTTCGAAATAATTTTAGATTGTTCCCATCAATGCCTTTTAACAGTTTTTGCATTTCTTCTGAAGGGCAGCCAGGATCAAATATTAGTAGACATAAACTTTTGTTTTTTCTTTCCTCGATTCCAACAATGGTACGACTATGACCTAGTTTTCAGTGCCAAAACCCAAACATATTAATGCACAGTAAACACCTAGACAAGAATTACAAACCTCTTAGTTGAAATAAGCTATACAGAATTGCTTCTTATCTAAACATCTTGTTTTTGGAACAAAATCATTTGAATATTCTCAGGAAATGATTTCCATCAAATCATGTTTAAAGCTGCTAATAACACCATGTAAGACATGTAATAAATTACAACACAATTACACAAGTGTTCAGAAAATGTGAAACCAGGACCGGAAGGCAGTGTTGCTCAAGATGTCTTCATCAATCCCTCAAAAAAACTAAACAGACTTTAAGTTGAAGAGTCTTTCAACTCTATGATCAAATACTATTTAGAGCTTTGTAAGAAGTGCACTGAGAAACAGACTGTTTTACTATGCTGATAGTGACACAGCACATGAAACACAATAGGCACAAGGACAAAGTATTCTGAAAACAAGGCTTAAGTTTTTTTTAAAAAAGGGTGTTTTACGATTGCACAATAATTTGCAGAGAAGACTGCTCTTAGCCTTTGAATGCTGTTCTACAGGGAGAAGGTGAAAGAGAAGCAAGATAAAAAATAATTAAATTCCATTTACGGCAGATATGATTAAATGTGAAATATTGCTCATGACTTAGACAATGTTGTTAGATGAAATACTACAAGAATATTTGAGATGTTAACTTTTAAAGCAATGAAATTTGAATATTCCAGATTCTGCTCTTCTGACATGATGAAGTATGATTCACATAACATGTAAGAGAATTGTCATGGAGAATAAATTGCTAGAATGGAATTTTATTTTCAGAAATATTTTACAAAAAAATCAATCCAGGACAGAGTTCTACTGACCTTGGTGCTGCAGATAAATTGGTGGCTTGGAAGTACTCGTAACCTTTCCACTGCTATCTTTACCTGAAGAATAATAGTTTAATACCCATTCAAACAAACGAGGGTGTGTGCCAGAGGAGCCAGTAGGCTGATGAAAGTCAATAATTTGACACCTATAAATTAAATTAAAATGTCTCCATAACTAGCCAGATAATAAATGCCATCTGGCATCTTTTAAAATTCCATGCACACAATGATTCTGCCTTTAGATTAAAAAATCAGACTCTTGTGATCCTACAAAGTCAACTATATTCAGTATTCAATGGCTGAGCTCATTTATTTCTGGCTTAGTTGCCATGCTGGATACATGAAACCATACAAATACCAGTTTTAATTTTTCTTTCTCTGTAGAGACTGTGGACAATTCATTTTTCTACTTGGAAAGAGTTCTGGTTCATCCTGTCTCCTGCTCCTAGTGACTTGGTAGGAAATGATTGGAAGGGGGAAAAAAATGGGATGGGAGAGATGTTGGAAAGCACCCAGCCTGGCAAGGATGAGGGATCAAGTGCAGAGTTAGCCTGGGGTAAATGCGCAATGACAAAAGGGCTAGGATCAACACCCCCCCACCCAATTATTTGGAATCTTATCTAATTCATCTCAAGAATAGGCTGCCATGCTGGAAAGATTCCTGTATTATAGGCAGAACATAATAAAGTAGTTAGCTAGATTTCTGTCTGGGTGGGTCTGTTTGTTCACCACACCCTTGCATAAAACTAAACAAATGCATAAAACATGGGCATAGATGGAGGTGTAATTAACAAAATTTTTATTCTGTGTTTTTTTACTTTATAAGAAACTCAAGGCAGTGAACATGCTTAATACTCCTTCCTCCTCCTATTTTCTCCACAACAATAACCCGGTGAGTTGGCTTGGGCTGAGAGTGAGCTGCCTAAAGTCACCTCAGCCAGCTTTCATGTGTAAGGCGGCACTAGAACTCAGTGTCTCCTAGATTCTGGACCAACACCTTAATCACTACACCATACTGGCTCTCCTTTATTTATTTTATATTATGTTTATTTGTTTATTTTATGTTATTCAGCTAAGTGGAGAGGGAATGAAGGAGCCATGCCAGTTCATAAGGGGCAATCATTTTTAATCCTTGTTGTCTGTATTTTCCTGAACAGAGGTCAGAAAATTATTAAACGCAATTTGATTATCTGTGAAGACTGAGTGTCAGCAGTTTGGAAATGCCTTAATCTTGGCTTCTAAGATCATTTCCACATTTGGTAGTTTATATTTACAAAAGGATTTCTCTTATTTTAAGAATTTATACCACCTCCCCCTTGTATGAAACTGCTAGGGTGTAGATGTAATAAACTGTTTTATCCTGATTCTATTTTTTTAATATTGTTGTTTTCAACATTTTTTTTAATTCTTCAGTTATTAATGAACTGAAAATATACAGTTCATCATAAATGAAAATGTCAGAAAATTTATTTATCTTTAGTACTGGATGCTAGAGAAATATTTGGCTCAGAACTAAGATTTCCCTAGTTAGTCAACACTTACTTTAGCCTGAGAAAAGTTAAGAGAGAATAAATTTCACATGCTCCTATCCACGCTTTAGTTCCTTGTAATCTGCTGTTGAAATGAGAAGCTCCTTGGGGATCAAAACCTTCTTTCCAGGCATCTTCAATCTGTGTTTGTATTTTTGGAATACAAGGAACAGATGAAATATCTAAACAAGAAAGAGGACAACGTTTAAAATATTTCAAAAGGAAAATTTGAATTTACCATATTTTTGTTCTCAGAGATTGTAGAATGCCCTTAGTTTGGAAAATAATTCCTTTTGACAGATAGATATATCCGTCAGCAGGTATAACATCACAGAGAGGAAATTTCTCTTGGAGTAAGACTGGAAAACATATATAGGGATAATGTCTTCCCTTTTCAAAAATAGTAAGTGAAGTCTATGGGGATTCTCAGTCATCCAGGTCATAGTTATTCCAAGGATGCTTTTTCAGGAGGCAACTGGACTTTCTTGTTTCTCTTTGAAGACGTTCCGCTTCTCATCTAATAAGAGCTGAAGAAGATTCTTGGATGAGAAGCAAAACATCTTCAAAGAAAAACAAAAAAGTCCAGTTGCCTCCTGAAAAAGCATCTTTGGTAAATGAAGTGCTAACCCTAAGATGACAGTGCAGCCGCTGTTTGCCTTAATCTTAATCCAGGAATGGGAAGTTGGGAAAGGGGCTGCAAAAATGATGCTGCTTACCAATCTTTTCTTTCTTTTTTTTTAATCTTTCGTTCATACGGATCTTTGGAATGTACTCTCTCATGAACTGAGGGAACTGACCTCCTTGCTTGCATTTAAAAAGGTCTTCAAATACATTTTGTTCCAACAGGGTTTTATGATTGCTATTCTGAATTAATGTCTAATTATTTTAATACTTTATGTTCCGCGGTAGTAGTTACAAACCGCTAGATTTTTTAATCCTGCCTTTATTTTTTTTTAAATTACTCAAATAATTTAAACATACATAATACTCCATCCTCCTCCTATTTTCCCCACAACCACCATCCTGTGAAGAGTGTTGGGCTGAGAGAGAGTGACCAGCCCAAGGTCACCCAGCCAGCTTTCATGCTTAAGGCAGGAGTAGAACTCAGTCTCCTAGTTTCTAGCCTGACGCCTTAACTACTAGATCAAAATGGCCATTTATGCTAATATAATATTAAATATTATAAAAGCTTAGTACTGTTAAAGGAATGTGGAAAATCTAAAATTTGATATTGTCCTAGAAGAGTTGGATATAACTGAATAAAATAAGTTCCAGCCTAGAAGACTCCCTTTCTTTTTTAAGTATTGGCTCTTGCTATTACTCAATTACATTCGACACGTGTCACAACATGTACTAAGGTCATGTCAGAATGGGGAGGTCTACATGCAGACAGGCCTGATGTGGGAGATGAGAAGTGATTTCTTCCTGGAAACCCTTTATGAATATTGAGAAATTTCCCCAAAGTAAATGCTGCCTATCTCAGAATCAAAAGAATGCTAAACCACAGAGGATCCTACGCAAATCTAGGCTGAAGTAGATTGCTTTAATTACAAGGGAAACTGTGTAACAAAGTACAAACCTTTCAAGGAGTCTTTATAGGAGTTATTTCTCAAAAGAGAAGAAAACTGAATTTGAAAATTCCGATAACCACAACCCCAGCCTTTGTCTCCAGGAGAACTGTGAAAGTGATCCACTCCCGTAGAAAGCCATACATGTTTTATATCTTTGCATTCATTCTGATAGTACTGGCACAATGCTTCAGTGACTCCTAGTTTGAAAAGGATGGAAATGGAGAAATATTACATTAGCCTAATTTACAATTTGTTCCATTATGCAAGTTTTACAAGATATGACTGATTATGTGCCATCAAGCCAACGTTGACTTTTAGCACCTACACAGATTCTTCAGATTATCTGTCCTCAATCTGGCCTTTTAGGTTTTCCAAAGATGTATCTGTCAATGCTGTAATCCAACTCCTACTGCAAACAATTGTAAGAAAGTTTATCAGGCTAAACAAACAGCACAAGTCTTTTAGAACAGTACTTCAGGTCCAGACTGGTATGGACTATGGATAATAAGACAGTGGCAACATATGAAGTAGCTAATTAAGGAGGCTAGGCAAGGGGAAATTTTTTTTTCTGACTCAACCGATCATTGGAGATCTTTAAACTGAATGCTGCATATTTGAAACAATTACATTATTAAAGCAGCAATTTAGTTATGGAGCAAAATAAATTAGACAGAAACGGAGACACATTCATAAAAGATAACTTTCCAGACCAACAGTGAGCCTACCATACAACCCGACAATAGTGACACTGTTCCTACAACTAAAAAGAGAAATGAGTTCTTTCTTCAGAGGAAGAGTATAAATACGATGACTATCAAATGAAAAACTAAGCCATAGATTTTATTTTATCTGAAGGCAATAATTATATCTCCAAGGAATTAATATTTTTGATAACACTATCCTTAATATGGTTTGTAAGAATCCCCACTTTCAGAACATTTTATATTCTTACTGTATTAATTTGAGAGCATAAGGGGGGAAAAAACCCAGCGATTTCTTAAATGCATCTAGAGAGTATCACAATATTAAATGATGAATGGCTATTTAAATAATCCTTTTTAGGCATCTGAATCAGGTTTTGAAAAAGAACTTACTAACCTGAAGTCTTTGACTTTCCATCATCAATGCCTAAAGCTAGAGATTCCAGCATATCAGCTTTTCTCCTGTGATATTCAGATGGTTGCATTCTTCCAAAATCCACTTCTTTTGCCATGGCTTTTAGTGACTGTTGCTTGTACCCTCCAGATCCATCTAAACCATATTGTCTCTACGGTGGAGAAAATATTCTTTTAAGGGCGAGTATTGCTGATGTCTTGGATCATACTTCCCTGCTGCCTTAGAACTGACAATGCTGAATGGAATCCAGGGGAAATCAGACATTAGACTGGAAACGTTTCTCTCTAGAAACAAGTTGAGGTATTAAGCTACAGATAGCTAGTAGCACTTATAGCTGAATTACAGAATAGTTAATTAACTGTATAAGGCTTCAATATATTATTTGTAGAGAGCTATGTTTGGAAAATGCGTCAGCATTCTATAGAGCACTTTGGCCGAAAAAGTCTTGCCCTACCTCTTTATTAATAAATCAAGAGATCAACTGGATACTGCATCCAGTTTTGGTCACCACTTTACAAAAAAAAATAAATTAGATTTTGGAAAAAGTGGAAAGAAGAGCAACTAAGATGATTAAAAGGGCCTGGAGACAAAAACATATGAAGAATGGTTGCAGGAATTGGGTATGCCCAGTCTAGACAAAAGAAGGACTAGCAGTGACATGATAGCAGTATTCCAGTCCTTGAAGGGCTGCCACAAAGAAGAAGGGGTCAACCTATTTTTTAAAGCACCAGAAGGCAAGACAAGAAACAATGGATGGAAACTAATCAAGGAGAAACTTCCTGTCAGTGAGGACAATTAACCAGTGTAACAGCTTGTCTTCAGAAGTTGTAGGTGCTTCATCACTGGACGTTTTTAAGACTGGACAGAAATGGTATAGGGTCTCCTACTTGAACAGGGGTTGGACTAGAAGACCTCCAAGGTCCCTTCCAGCTCTATTCTGATTGAAGAAGTGTTGTACAAACAATTGTGAAAAAAAATTCAACCACCCATGTAATCTAGTAACTTAAGATAACCTTTATTGTCATGTTTTACTATGAGCACACTGACCCATATTAAAAATGAAATTCTGTTGCCTGCGCTCGAAAGAAGGTATGTATCTACCCATACACATACATACCACACTTATACACATGCTATATATATACATATATAAACCTACCCCTACATATATATATACATATAAATATTAATCACTGTCCATTTTGAATAGAGGAAAGAAGAAATTTGAGAGTTCACAAGGTTGATGCTATATGGATCAAAACTGTGGTTGAATCTGGATGTTCTGCTTCAGATACCAGGAAGCCTCCTCCCAGAAGGAAAACAGGTTGTGAAGAGGATGTATAGCATCCCAGAGTGTATGTTAATGTAGTAATTTATATTCTGCTTTTCTTCCATCATGATTCATGAAATTTCTGAATGGTCTCCCATCTAGGAACTGACCCAATCAGTTCCTAAATAGGAACTGGCAAGGTGGCTTCTTTATGAAACAGACCTGTACCTTAATCAGTTGTTTCCAAATATCAATCTCTTTATTTATGAAAAATAAATAGGTACTCATACTTACTGCACATGTAATTTCTCACTTAATTTATTCAGAAGGGCTGTCAAATATGCACTTAAAAAACTAAGATACCTGCAGCTTTTGGAAATCAGCCTTTTCTTGTCTTCCTGTTTCTATTTTTCTTTGCTTATCCTCTTCATTTTGAAGATGCTGTGCCAATTCTAGATCATTCAAGTTTCTTCCTATTGCGTGAAAAAATATTTAAGTTTTACCATATTTCAAAATGTTGAATATCTAATGTTCCTAAAATAAAGTATACATTTTAAATAATTTCAGCAACATCTACAGTTTCAAATTTGCAGCATAATTCTATGTATGAAATAACCTATACTCATTGAGGCACAGGATTAAAGTCTTAATTGTGCACATTACATTCATACAGACATAATGAAAAGATGAACCAATCAGTACAATTCAAATAATTTTATGTATTTATTTACTGAAAACATTTATATAGTTGCTTATATTGAATTCTGATTACTACTCATCAGTGTAATATTACAAAAAATATAAATTGAAATCATCCTATTTCATATATATAAACTGGTTTACTTGATCAGGAAATCATATTACTTTACACTTGAAGCACTATTATTAACTTGCAGGATGTAATTCTTCACAGTCATAACTGCTTTGTTTGTTTCTAAGGTCCATAATCCTCATGCCTGGAACTTAACTCATATCCTAAGTAATGCTCAATTATAATCCTCAGTGAGATCAACCTTCCAGCTAGCAGAGGAAGAATTCAGGAAATTATCTTTCCCCTACATCTCTGAAACTCTCTTCCAGATCTGAAAAAGCTTCAGTGCAACAGTGTGGGGAGCATACAGTGGATGCCAGGAGGAAGGAAAATGAACCATGTATATTCCTCTTTCTCTTCTTCCAGAAGAAATGTTTGTAAGGTTGTTTTGAACTGAATAATTCTAGAAAATTTCTGAAGGTATAGCATAGCATGCATCTATCCTTTTCAGAAGCAAAGACTTATCACTCATTTCCTGGGCAGAACAATTTGTTTACATAAGGTTAAAAAATATAATTGCTTAAGAAAAATAGTATTATTTGAGAATGGCAGGGAAATATTTATGGAACTCTTATAGCACCGACATGGTATCACTCAGCTGGATAAAGCAGGAAAATCTTAAATGGATATTTCAGATGGCAACTTGGGAGATGTGATTCTCAATGGTTATACAGGGCAAGGAGTGTTATTTTTAGCTTTCAATACTAGAAATCTACTAATCACATGTGTATTGTCCTATTAGATTTCAACTTATATGCAAAATAATTTACAGCCTTTTAAAAATGTATATTGCCTTATTTCAATGGCCCTTGATTGAAAAAACAGTGACTCAATGACTCAAAAGCCTTGAGGCAGAGGCTTGCATCTATTATTTAAAAACTTTTTTCCACTGCCTATGACATTTTATTATTTAAACTATTTAAGCTGTAGGTTACTTATCTACTCTGAATACAAATGAGTATCTTACGTGCATGGTATTTCAGCGTCTATGAGACTCATTCTACAGTATTAGAAGAAACAGCCAACTGACAATACTGAAGCATTCTTTCCAATTACAATATATTGCTTTATCAACACATTGAATTACTTGATGTCTTATTTTAGAATCCTTTATTTTACCTTCTAAAATGCTGCATTCATCCAGGTGCAGTTCAACATGTTCTTGCAGAACTGGATAATCGATACATATAAGGTGACACATTGGACATTCATATAGAGGTGGACCACTTTCTGCATTGAAAAAAATATTTAAAGACTAAATGACAATTTTACTGGCCATTCCTATAAAAATCAAAGAAGCCAAACAACCCCCCAAACCCATGAATTTTTAACTTTGTATTAAGAGTCATCTTTAGTGTCAGGGATAACTTTGAAGTCCAGTGAGATTTGACAGATTTATCTTGTGGAATAGCGGCACTTCATATGAAAAAGCCACATTTTCGACAATGGTGTTATTCAAAGACACACAGTAATGGCAATTAAAATGATGGTCTTAAACAAACTGATACTTAAGCACCAGGAACAGCTGGCAGTCAAAGTTTGGCATTTTAATCTGTACAGAACAGGTTTTGCTGTATAAAGAATCAATGCAGTGTATCAATTAAAGAGACTAGGGGTGGGGAAACCCTAGTCGTTCCTCAGCCACAAATTTGGGGCCACACAAATCTACCTCACAAAGTTGTTTGCTGTAGGAAAAGAAGCAGGATGAAGACAGAGTGTAGCGTGCATTGCAATGAACTCTTCAACAAACAGCAGGAAATATAGTGCCGAGATGCAGTTTACACAATGTCTCATAAGAGATGCAAGATATGTGTGTGTCTACTGATCAGTGGGAGCCGTGGGTATCCTGTGTAAAAAGATACAAGATCAAGACTCAATAGTAAGCAGGTGTTTTGCACACCCTTATGGCTACTTTGAGGAAATACAAATTTGGGGAAGGAAACAGGGAAGAGTCCCTGAGCCTTCGCTACCACCGTCTTATTTTAATGCCCCTTTTGCTTAAAATGCAATCTAGATCCGGTTGCAATTAGAAGGACGCATAAGGAAGATGCACCAAACTCCAAGGGCTCGGAGAGAAAACCGAGACTCCCCAGAGACACAATTCAATCACACACCACTTTGCATCTCTGCAACAACCGGCCGGCGCTTCGCCCCTTAGTAGAGTGCTGGCAGATGGAATGCTGCAAATGGAACTCAGCTGTTGTTTCCAGACCGCCAAGCCTCGCAGCGTCGGAGGACAAAGGAGGGCCGGTTGTGCATTCCCGCTTGACTCACCAGGAAGGGAAGACAGAGGAAGAGCGCGAGCACCGACAGGCGGGCTTCCCTGCCGACCTCCCCTGGACACGGCCATTACCCGGCTGCGCGCGGGACAGCCCCGAGTGGCTCCTCCTTCTCGGAATTCAAATAAGCCACGCCCCTTTAGACCAAGCCAAACAATCGCAAACCCTCCTGAAAGCGTCCCGCTGTTCCGAAGCAAGCGGAGGTGGAGAGAGACTGCGCGAGCGCATTCCTTAATGAGGGGTTGTCAAACTGGCGGCCCCGCGGGCCGGATACGTCACGCGTGGGCCACGCCCATCCCGGCTCCGCAAAGGCAAAAAACATCGCCATACGTCACGACATGTCACGTGACGCGATCGAGTTTGACACGTATTTAAAAAAAATATGTGCTGTCACGTGTGTTTTAGCCCCGTTAATAACGTAGCGTCAAAACTCGTTTCCCCAAAACTGCTTTGCACATAGCTTTGAGTGTATAGCTTCTTGGCTTGTACACCTGCGACTCTGTGATGGGAGCGTGTCACGACCGGGTTTCTGTGGTTTCTCGTTCGCGAGCTTGCTGTAGGTCTCTATAGACAACGCCACATTTCTACCCAGCGCGCAAAGATAAATACGTTCAAGAGAATAACGTAATCAATGGTTGTCAGAATGATATATTAAAAGCAATCACTATGTTGGTCTAGGACAGGGGTAGGCAACCTCGGCTCTTTTATGTCTCGTGGACTTCAACTCCCAGAATTCCTGAGCCAGCTTGGCTGGCTCAGGAATTCTGGGAGTTGAAGTCCACGAGACATAAAAGAGCCGAGGTTGCCTACCCCTGGTCTAGGATAAAACATTCATCGTGTTATTTTTTTAAAGGGTCATTACCAGGATTATACGAAAGGCAATTTTTGTATCTTTAACTCCGTAACGACCAGGAGCGAGAAGGAAGAACTCGGTGACACTGATGATGAGTGCATTTTTAAGAGACCTGAAGGAACAATTAAGTATTGGAGAACGCCATGGACAATATCTATGTGGCTGCTAGGAGTCGAAAACTACTCGAAGGCACATAATCATCCAACAGATTTTTAGTTTTTAACGGACAGGAAGAAAATAGCGGTCGGAAGTGGCAAAAAGGGAGGGTTACGAACAGGAGACTTTCACTGTGTGAATGAAAGCAGATGAGCGGCTATCCAATAAAAAGCTTAGCGTGCAAACACTCGGTTCCTTGCCGGTTTTAAAATTAAAGCCGATTAACTGAAACAGTCAATACAGACGACTGTATTTAGACAATGCGTTCTGAATTTACATTCCAGAGTGAATAGGTTAAAATATTAGCACATAAGCTCTCAGGTCAACGGTTCCCGAGATAATTGAGCGTCTTTAGAAGATCTATCCCAGGCAACCTTGGCTCTTTTATGACTCGTGGACTTCAACTCCCAGAATTCCTGAGCCAGCATGGCTGGCTCAGGAATTCTGGGAGTTGAAGTCCACGAGTCATAAAAGAGCCAAGGTTGCCTACCCCTGATCTATCCTATGCTATCCTATGCTATCCTATCCCATCCCATCCCATCCCATCCCTTCCCTCCCTCCCTCCCTCCCTCCCTCCATCCATCTATCCATCTATCTATCTATCTATCTATCTATCTATCTATCTATCTATCTATCTATCTATCTATCTATCTATCTATCATCTATCTATCTCTATGGAGCTTTTGGGGAAACTCGGCGCAGTTCAACCAATTCGCAGCTCCTTCGCTTTCGTGCGCGCAGGGGACACTGGGAAAAGAGGCGGTGCCCCGCTTGGCGTTCCGTGCCCTTTGGGCCGCCATCTTCAATTACGATCCCGATTTCTCTGCGGCGGAGGGCCAGTGGCGCCTGGGGGGGGTCGCCCTCCGATGGGTACGTGGACGTTTATGGCTGTGAGGTGAAGGACGAACAGACGCGGATTAACTATGGCGTTGCTTCATTGAGTCTAATTGGGAAACCGGGCCATTAAAACCGAATTAAGCCTATTCGGGAGAGGCAGGGATGTGCGCGTCTCTTTCGCCTTTCCCCGGCGCTCGAGAAGCTTCTCTGAAATAACAAAGCACCCGATGCAATTGGGGAGAGGACAATGATTATTATTATTTGCACATTTTCCCTCCATCTCCTCCGGGCCGGCGGCACTCACCCTATCTTCGACCTGGCGCCTTTGTGCCTGGCAGAATTGGCAAGTAATAGTGGGAATCATGCATGTTTACTTAGAGGTAGCCCAGATTAGAAAATTCGTGGGATCCATGGCCCAATGAACCCGGGTAAGGACAGCTGTCTGTGCATTTTTTTTTTCTTGCTCTCCGTGCAAGAAAATCCATGGCAATGCCAGTGAGAGAAATAAAAAAACTGGAAACAATAGTTAACAGCAATTCCTCACACATGTGATCAGGGATTACAATGTAGGGCCAGGAATGCAAAAAATGCTGAGCGTCTGTCCCCGCTCCTGTAAACAGCTGATGCAGGGCTAGATAACTGTTGAACTGCAATTCCCAGCATCCCTAGAAAGTATAGCCAAAGCCAGGGGATGCTGGGAATAGTAGTTTAGCAGTAATTTCTCCCCCCTCCCCGAAAGGGAAAAAAAAACCTAGCTTGGGCACCTTTCTTTTGGAGTGCCCCAAATTCAGCTTCTATACTGAACGTTCATAGACATGGCAGAGTTTTTAATACTCCTCCAGCCCACCTTTCTTGCCTCTGCTTAACCCTTCAGGGAGCAGTACCCAGCTCTGTCTAGTTTAGACAAGGGAAGATCAGTTAGGGAGAGAAGAGTTTGTATATTTCATTGTAATGGTGAAAGTTGTTCAAATGCTTTAGTCAAGAGAATTTCCAGAGAAACACCCTTAAGTTTGGAAACAGTGAGGCTTGAGTATTTCTCTCCATTGTAGCTGCTTCAGACCTAGAAGGGATTAGCATGCCTGTTAACATTGAGGGTTGCATCCTTCTTGATTTTGAGGGTTCATTTGTTGAAAATAGTCATGCATAGCTCTACAAAATTTTGGTCCAGCTTCTGTTGCTGTGGTTTAATTTACGACATTGTATTACAGATATCTCAAATTTATGTAAAGCTTCTGGTTGGTGTAACACTGTAAATGTATGCTTGATGATGAGCGTCTGAAGTTTTTAATTGATTCAGTTGTATCTGACAAGATGCAAACATTTTCTCCTTATGATGAGATCAGCTGCCAATATACAACACATCAAACTATGCTCTGTGCTTCTTTGGGATTTTCCTATGCAAATAATATAAACATGAATTTCAGATAATCCTTACTTCTTTCTTGGAGATTTGTTGAATGTGCCCCTCTCTATATGAAGCATAATTGCTTCTCATAAAGAGACCAGAATCGTAGAATCTGATATTTAGGGATGTGCACTTTGTCTTAATGCTTCTGCTGATCATTCACCCGTTGGAAGTTCTGTGCATTAGTTAATTTGATTTTATATTTTGTTCTGCTATAAACAGGTCTGTTCTGGTGTGTTGTTAGTTTCAATCATGCTGCTCAGATATTGTTTCTATATTCTAAATATTAGTGCTTTTTGGACCTTGCAATGGAAATAAAGTGAATTGAGGTTCTAATTATAGGAGTTTTTTTCAGTTATCCCATACATTTTAAGAATTTTACATACAAATTAGGTTAATTCAGATATGCGGTTCCAGTTTTGATTTGTTTAGAATTAAGATCCACTTAATGTAATGACACTCATTACTGTATACTGTAAAAGCTTCTTTCTTAGTAGCAGATATATATATAATACAAATAGTATTTGAACAGCTAATTTTTTTTATCAATTCCACATGATAAAATATGTTAGTATTCATATAAATATTTAGAGTATAAAATGATACCAGATCTGCTGTGGCATTGTTTGTCCTGAGAACAAACAGAAATGGAAAATGCCATTCAAATAATAACAGCAGTAAAAATGGAGGAAATACTTTCTGCATTGAGAGAGAAATTAATGAGTATTAATTAAAACCTTGTTTGAAGTCTCTAGTCTGTACAAGCACAATTGGACAAGTTACATTTTCAGCCATAAAGTCAATATGGGCAAATTATGAGAAATAAGATAGATCAAACTCTATGTAGCAGTTGCAGGCGCAGATGCAGTCTTCGCACACTGTCGTGTCATTAAGAGACATTTATATTTTGAATTCTTCTATCACATTTTACATTGCACCTTTGCCATTTTTCAACATTCACAATATCGAATGTTTCTTTTTATCATCATCAATAAGAATAATTATTTTGTTTCTCTATAAAATGTCATTAGCTTGATGTAAATCCTATTTTTCTTTATCGCAGATAACATGGCAAGCCCAGAAAAAGATAATTACAGAATGAAAAGTTATAAAAACAATGCTCTCAATCCCCAAGAAATGCGAAGACGAAGAGAAGAGGAAGGCATTCAACTTCGAAAACAAAAAAGGGAAGAACAAGTAAGTCCTCATTTAAATCATAGCTGAGCAATGACTGTCGTAAAGCCCCTTAAATTGCTTATATTGGGGGAAATGATTTATGGTCCAGATCTGATCTCTGGCTATCTACCTTCATTCATTCATTCATTCATTCATTCATTCATTCATTCATTCATTCCTCCCAAAACATCTTATGAGCAATATAGTTCATTATAAATAAAATGCAATAAATTTCATTGAAAGCAAATTTCTAAAATTCTTCTCACAGGAAGGTTGACTTGGTAGTAATAGCCCACTTGGATGTACTGTCATAACTTTTTTTTTGCTGACACAGAATAATTTTATTTGTTTCTTACATATATCTTACTTTTTAACTTGAAAGGTTCTGAAAATGCCCTTAGACTTAAAAGATACAATATAGAAGGAAATGAGGGTGGAGAATGAAAAGAATTTAGAAAAAAATAGATAATAGAAAAAGGGAGCTTTTTTTTAGTATCCATCAAATAAGCGATAACTATTTCTACTTGCATTCGCTACAAAAGGAATCAGAAGTTTCTATTTTTATCTGTACTTTCAGCAGTTTTGTTTTTTCTCATTTTCCTTTATTCTCTATTAGTTTTTGATAGTTTTTATCTTCTTGTTAAAACTTTCAATAACATTGATTAAAAAATAATATTACAAAAAGAATGAAAAAGATGCTATGAGACGTATCTAGATATTATTCTGCTTGTATTTAGACTATTTATAGTGAAAATGTGTCTATAATTGGTTTTTATTTTTTGCCCAAAAGTGTTATTTTAAGGCACATTTTAGCCTTGCATAATAATAATAATAAAGTTGGAAGGGACCTTGGAGGTCATCTAGTCCAACCCCCTGCTCAGGCAGCAAACCCTATACCATTTCGGACAAATGGCTGTCCAGTCTCTTCTTAAAAACTTCCAGTGTTGGAGCATTCACCACTTCTGGAGGCAGGTTGTTCCACTGGTTAATTGTTCTAACTGTCAGGAAGTTTCTCCTTAGTTCTAGGTTGCTTCTCTCCTTGATTAGTTTCCATCCATTGCTTCTTGTCCTACCTTCAGGCGCTTTGGAAAATAAGAAAGTATTTGAGACTAAAATAATTCTTGAAATATGCTTAACATATTTTGGAAACACTTATTTCTAAAAGAGCTAGGTTTTTTTTTAAATCACAAAGCACTCTTTTTATTTCTTAACCAATACTTCCCATTGTACTTATTTGTTTTTCCTTTGCTTATATAATGGCATCACACTGAATTAAAATGCAACCGGTATATACAGTATATTCCTAAATTTAGTACATATTCCTAAATATTCATCAAGCATCTTGTTTATAAAAGGATACCCAAAGTAGGATTAAAGCTAATACAGTAGTAACACATTGTTGATTCAGTCATGTTTCAAGAGAAAACTTGAAGGCTTGATCAAAAAGTGAGAAAGCAACAGAAAAAAAATGGTATGTGTGATTTATATAGTATCTCTTCCTCTTCCAGAAATAATCCCCAACACAACGTATTTTTCTTACATTTCTTTTCAGTTATTTAAACGTAGAAATGTTTCTCTGCTGGCCAGTGAAGAGTCAATGCAGGAGAGTCCAATCCAGGATCCTGATGTGAGCTCTACCGTTCCAATTCTAGAGGTAGGAAATCTGCCACGTGCCTTAAAGCACATTTGCAGATCTGGCTAAAACTTTAGGAAATTATAATTATTTTTCCATTTTTAGGAAGATGTGATTACATGTGACATGGTGCAGATGGTTTTCTCAGATGATCCTAGTCAACAACTTGCAGCAACCCAGAAGTTCAGAAAGTTACTTTCTAAAGGTAAATCAGCAAAACACGATTTTCTTTTTAATACTTAGTAAATTTTAGTTTCGGTCTTTGCATTAAATTGGAAAACAGTTTTTAACAATACATGTTAAGAGTACTTAACTTGTTTTTTTAATCGCAAGTGGTTGTATTGGTACAGGAATAATTTAATGCCACATGTCCAATTACAAAATGAAAAAAAAAACCACCACCCTCAGATAGAAAAGAAGAGCCACTTTGTACGTTGTATGGATTCCACTAGTTTAGCTAATACAGCAAAGCTGCTGATGTCACTCAAATTAAAGTTGATTGTTTTTTCTGGGATAAAAGTTAAAATGGAAGCTAAAAGTGATTAAGGAATGGCTTTTGGAAATGTGTGACTTACCCTACTAGAAAAGGCAATATTCTCTACTAATTAAAAGATGAAGCAATGTGTACTATAATTTATCTTGTATTTGATATAATATTAACTGATATTAGTAAAGCAGTGACTATTATCATTGTGACGAAGTTTAATGTGTAAGATAGAGTTTTATTTTATTTTGGTTTGGGATTTTTTTTTTATTTCCCTTTTTGGGTTTCTATCTCTTGTTTTTGAGGAAAGAGTAATCCTTTTTAAGGATTGTTCAGCTTACCTTTTTTTAGCTACTTTTTAAGAAAAAAAATAAATGTGCTCGTTCCATGTTATATCTACCAAGTGTTTTCAAATGTTTTTTTTTAACAAAACAAGCTATCAGCAAGCCTAATTTGGAAAGAGACTAATTAAATAACTGCTTGATGGAAATAATTAATATATCCACACACAGGTTTCCTCCTCTAGTATGTATATGGTACATCAATACTATATTTAGTGAAGAAATCATGGAGATGGAAACAGCAAGAGAAATAGAGAGACTCTGCTTCTTCCCACCAGTTCAGACATATCTGCAGTGCACTAGAACAAGTTTATTTTGGATTCAGTCCCCAAACACTAAGCCTTAGAGTAATTTAAAAGGCTGAAGAGGCATTGTCATTGTTTAATCATAAGTGCTTGAAGACACAAGTGCTCTAGTCGCTATAAAGAGTTTGGCCCCAAAGGGTACAATATCTTTATGTCTGTTTTCACAAATTAACCTACATGCCCTCCCTTGTTTATAAATACAGCCAGGAATGTAAGTAAAATGTAGGACAGATCTTTTCATTTTTAAGGCTTTTGTGGAAGTTGGCACTTGACTAAAGGGAAGCATGTTTTGATTGCTTCCTTTCTTTCAGCTGTTATTCAAGTTATTAAAGTATAGTTTGATGGTGTATTCTCTAAGCTGCTGTTGATCTCTGCTAGGTCTTGAGGTTTGTATGGAAAGCCTTGAGTACACCATCTTGAAGTTTTCTTGCATCCTGTCTGTACCCTCAGTTTATAACTCTTCATTCAATAATAATTGATTTGTGTGATTCACTCGGGCAACAGATGGCAGTAGCGTTGGCTCAAAGGAGATTAGAAGCTATGCTTTCATGGCTATTATCATCATACACAAATGAAATCTTCCCATTCATAGTATGTTAACTGATTATTAAAGTTGAGAAGGAGCAATACAAAAGGAGCTATTGCTTAGGAACTTCTTAGAACAGGGTTGTCAAACTGCTGGCCCATGGGCAGTTTGCCATGCATCATGGCGAAACCGCACCCACCCCATTGCAGGCAATGGAAAAAAAAGTCGCGATACGTCGCCACACGTCATGTGACGTTGCGTGTTTGACACCCCTGTCTTAGAAGCATCACACTGATCACATTTTTTGACTTACATATTAGCCAATTTGCCAGAGTGCTTTGGCTTATTCCCTATGTATGACAGATGGTTTACATTTGTTTTCTATATTATTTCTGAGAGATTTTCTCACAGCATTTTAATGTCACCATACATCATTGAGTTAGGTTAGATTTAGAGACAGACTGACTTCCCTAAGGCCAATCAGCTTGCATAGTTTAAAATGGGGACTTTAATTTGATTCATCTGCAATATTCCAGCAAGTTCATTATGATAGCCATGCTATTCAGCGCTCTCTTAATTTTGCTTCTTAATTTTTTTCCATTGTACTGAACTTATATGTAAATTGTTATTATTGGATTGCTTTATCTTTCATTTCAGAACCTAATCCTCCAATTGATGAAGTTATTCAAAAACCAGGAGTTGTGGAGAGATTTGTCAAGTTTCTAGAAAAAAATGATAATTGCACTCTTCAAGTGAGTTCATAAAATAATGTGAGATACATTTGGGGGAAAGAACAAGGAATTAAAATGTTATATCTTACCGGTAGAATATGAAGGGAAGCTTTGCTTCTCTCTCTCTTTCTCTTTCCCCATCATTTGTTAAATATTTTAACAGTTCCATAAGTTAAACGGGTATTAATCCGTATTATGTCTTGTAGAGGGAACACAATTTAAATTTGGTTCCAGAGTGAGCATGTTATTCCCACAAGCAGATATTTTTTTAAAAGATATTGAATAATATAAGACAGCGGCCCCCCAACCTTTTGGGCACCAGGAACTGGTTCCTTGGAGAGAGGTTTTCCATAGAGGTGTGGTTTCATGTGCTGCCTGCATCCCTTGGATGGGACTTTGCTTCTTTGCGCAGCCCATTTTCTGGCATGCTGCAGACCAGTGCCGGACCTGGGGTAGGGAACTCCTGATATAAGAGGTAGATAAATTGAGACAACACTGGATTGGGACTTTTGTTTGCTTGTTCTGCTGCCATAGTTTCCCATTGTTTCTCCCAAAGTTTCAAATGTAAATTGTTCCTGTTTGTTGAAATTATTTAAATGTTATTAAAGTATGAGCATATTTTACTATTCTCCAAGACCGTATTTATACCCTTGCTAAAATTTTGTGAGATTGGTTAAGGCAAAGCGGTACGGTATGCTTAAGATTTTTATGCCACGCAAATACTAAAAAATCGTTATTTCACTACAGAGATTTATACAGTTGAAGGCTATAGCCTGGTATGGGGAAAAAAAGCCCCATAGAAAATAAGCATAGAGAATTGATTGTAAAATAAACTGTTAAAAGTCATATTTTTTATCTTCTAGTTTGAAGCAGCATGGGCTCTTACAAATATAGCATCTGGAACTTTCTTGCATACCAAAGTAGTAATTGAAACTGGAGCAGTCCCAATTTTTATTAAACTATTAAATTCTGAACATGAAGATGTCCAGGAGCAGGTAACTTTTTGTGAATTTTTTATTATGCAGATTCAGTTGTACTGTAAAATGTTGGTCCTCAAAGTTAATTTTGGGAAGGGAAAAATAATACATATTTGAATAAAAACAAAATTGAATTAGATGTAATTCTAAACTATGGTTATGATTAAATACTTGAATAATATATTTGTGTATTCCCCACTGTTTTGTTTTTAAATGGCGCTATTAAAAAGGTATCAGAGGTTTTTGCTTCAGTTGTTAATTTATTGTGATTCACAGGAAGCTAGAACTGGGGTTGAATGTGTTTAGGTTTAGAAACTATGCTTTTCATATAAACTAACCCAGTGGTGAGATGTGCTACCCAATTCTCAATTACTCTGGGTGGATTGTAAGCCACACAATGTCTGTACCCATCACATGAAGGATTTCTTCTTCTTGTGCCATATCCGTTATCGGATGTTGGTGATCATGTTGGCGATCCTGTTTTTATCAGCAGCCGCACGAAAAAGTGCTGCTGAGTTTTGTCCAAACCAGTCCCTTAGATTTTGAAGCCACGATGTTCTTCTTCTGCCTGGACCTCGTTTGCCTTCAGTCTTTCCCTGGAGGATTAAATGGAGTATGCCGTATTTTTCTGGGTGTCGCATCACATGTCCAAAATATTCTAATTTTCATTTTTTAATTGTTTTGGTGATTTCCCTTGGCTTTCCCAGGCGGCTTATCACCTCCTCATTTCTGATCTTGTCAGCCCAGCTTATACGTAACAGCCGCCTGTAAATCCACATTTCAAATGCTTCTAGTCTCTTCAGGTGGCCTTCTGTCAGAGACCAACTCTGTACTCCATAGAGCAGCGTAGACAAAATATAGCATCCTACAAGCCTGATTTTCAGTCTTAGTCTTATGAAGGGTTTGGCGGTGGCCTTCTCCAAGTGTGTGTACTTCCTTTTAACTGTTGTCTGATGGCATCTAGTTCACCAGGATGCAAGAGGGAAAGAATCAGCTGCTTGGTGATCTAAACCATTTTTCCATTGTCTCAGATAACAGTTTGACTTAACCACAAACTATGACAGTTTGGAGATACTGTGGCTAGTTTGAATTCGAAGCAAAAACCTTCAACCTCCTATTTGTAGTGTACTGAAAGGTAGAATACAGAATAGGACCTTTACAAGTTCAAAACTCACACACGTGATGTTGAACATATAATGTTGTACGATCGCATAATGCTATTTCACATCATAGACAAGTGCAGTACCTTGCATATTATAAAAAGTATATACTATTTTAGTTACATTGTTTGTGCATTGGATTTTCTTATTTCAGATGTTTAGGCTGCAGTCCCCTGCTGGCTTGTGTGGGATCAAAATATACACAAATCACTGACTCGTGCAAATATTGTTAGGCTTGCATTATTAGAAATTTACAGATGTAGCAGTAGTTTTGGATTTTGATGTACAGTATTATTTCAGTATGTTTGTTTCATGTCAGTGATTGTGTTCTTAGTGTGATGAAATACCGTTATTTCTCTACGCAGAAATAAAAGAATCCTTGCTACATAAGCTCATGGATGAGAATGAATTTCTACTGTGAGATGGGCAACCATACAAATAAATACATGTTGTATTTACTAAGCACACATTCTTATGTCCTACAGAAAGTTGCCTCCACTGGTGCTTCTGAATGTGATGTTGGTGGGGAGATTCAAATATGTTCTCTACCAGGAATGTTTATAAATACACTCAGATACTGGAATTAAGTCAATTCACACATGTACTAATCTCCATTTGTAATTATAAACTATTTAGATTGGTCCCAGTAGGCAAATATTTCGTGCTTAATTATTTTGAATTTCCAAAAAAGTAGATATATTCTGCAGTAGAAAAATTGCTGTCACTTATTTATTAAATTATTTTATTGGATTGGTAAGGCAAAATGAGTCAAGGTGGCATACACAACAAGTTAAAACTGCAAAAGAAAATATAAGCTATGTAAGGGATATAGATATTAAAATAACATATAAATAGATTCAACGGCCCTGGGCCTGCTGGAAGAGCCTGATCTTCCTAATGTTGCTGAAGGATAGCAGGGTTTGGATCATGCAGACTGTTTAGATGTCACTCACTCTGAACAAACTCCAATTATGATTATTTTATATTAAGAACAAGGCTTTTACACTGGTTGCTTTGTACTGAATAATTTCTTTTTGCTTCTCCCACTCCATGAGTAAAATAAATTGGTTTACTATTATGTGTTGTTATAGATATTTCCATATCTGTAACAGTTTACAATTATGCCTGAGACCAGTGAGAATTGGCACATTGATTCTTTCAGTGATTGCTCCTGGCCCAAATAATCATTATCTTTTGCAGGGGTTCTAGCAATTAACAATACAAGATGTTTTGAGGTTCAGCGGCAGGCCTAAATTTTCATGGTGGTCGGGTTTTTTTTTCATATTAACATCAGCCATTTAAGTAATAACATTAATTATTCTCTTGCGTACAGTTTATATACTTCTGCATAAATGGTAATTTTGTTATCAACTGTATAATGCATAAGAAGTAAATATGAGTATTTAAAAGGATTAAAAAGAATTGTGAATATTAATTTACATATTTTTTTTCTAAGGCAGTGTGGGCCCTTGGTAATATTGCTGGAGATAATGCAGAATGTAGAGATTATGTATTAAGCTGTGGAATACTTCCTCCACTCTTACAGTAAGTACAGATCATCTTGGCAGTTAATAGAATGGTATGCCTGGCTACATAATTAAAGCATCCAGGTTAATTGCTAACTTATAAACCCTAGGTTGGTAATGATCAGTGCAAGGCTTCAGATTCCAAAAAAAGTGTTTTGGAGTGGGTAGGATTCAAAACATAGCACTTCTCTGCAATTCTTTTAAACATCTAACTCATTTGGCAGGCGTGTGATCTTGACAAAAGGCACAGTTGCTTTACACAGTTGCAAATGTATTGTATTATTTTCAAAGCACTGCCCAGCCTTTGTAATTATTAATAAGGCTTCAACCATCTACTCATACCTTTAGAATTAAGTACCATTGGACTCAACAGAACTTCTGAATAGAGATGCATAGGTTTGAAATATCAGTTATATATATATATATATTTGGGGTTAGTATGCTGACCCTAAAGCGTCTTGGTGCTAGAATATTTTAAATAGCAGTTTTTATTAGAATAAAAGTTCTCCTAATTATTTGGCTAAAAATTATAAAACATGTTTCTTCTAATTTATTATTTTTTCCAAAAATTAATAATTTCTGTGGATTCTATCCAATTTTGTACTTAACAAAACAGAGCTACTCCTCTTTTTCTTTTTCAGTTCTGTTCCATGCATTCCCCAATTTGCTCAGATAAGGTCACAAGTAAACCAGTTTGACTCCTATCCCAGGAGATAGGGATAAAAAGAATCTGTTCTGCTGCTAAAATGCTATTCCATCATTACATGGAAAACATTGAATATAACCATATTAATGAAAGTGAAGTTATTTTCATGTACATGATGAAAATAATCATTCAAATTATGTTGTTGTTGTTGTTGTTGTTGTTGTTGTTGTTGTTATTATTATTATTATTATTATTATTATTATTATTATTATTATTATTATTTTGGCAGACTCCTAACACATTCTAACAGGCTTACAACTACCAGAAATGCAGTCTGGGCACTTTCAAACCTCTGTAGAGGCAAAAACCCACCTCCAGATTTTAGCAAGGTAAGGCCTATATTTCATTCTATAAAGATGCTATAATAATAAAAAAAAATCATACATTGCTTCGTTCCAATGTATCTTCTGGTATAAATTAAACTTTTTCAAAGTGTCAACTGTTTATGTCCAGGTAAAGATTCTTTTTGTCATAGAGTGGAACTGAATATAGTACATTAACTTTCCTGATGATGATGTTCATTTTCAGAGTAGAAAACCGATTAAATTAAATTAAATTAAATGCTATACTTGAAATATCCTGAAAGTGGCTATGTATAATATTTTTGGTTCAGTCCCAGCTGAAGTTATTTTACACTGGTCTCAGCTCAGGAAAATACAGATTCAGCACATATGTTCATGTGGGCACGTGCACACACCCAGCAGTGCAATTCCAATGTAACTAAGAAAATTTAAATATAGGGCACATTGTAATGACCATTTGTGGACTAGTAGAATATACTCATAAGTTTTTAAAGAGTTATAGTTAAAGGATAATATCAAATACCCCAAAGCTTTCAATTTACTGATTCATCTCTTAGGAAAGCAAGTTTGAAATACTTCCTAACTGGGTTGACTTGTTTCACACCCATTTTGGAAATGGGACATGCCATTGATCTGTAATAAGCAACAAGAAGATTCCTGTATCTTCAAATGAAAGAGCCATATCTTCCAATGAGCTCACTTTCCTATTGCAATTGCCCATAAACACTGTGTATGTGTATAGATATGTTGCTTCATGGTCCAAGTTTCCTTCACTGTCAATCTCACATGCCATATCTGTCCCTGAGCAGTCCTTTAATTAGAAACTGCCACTCTGCTATCCGTTTCAGCATTAGTTGTACCTGTTTGCTCCTATTATCTTATATTAGAGATATCACTTTCGATTAGTTGGTATTTAGCCCAGGGCAGTGATGGCGAACCTTTTAGAGACTGAGTGCCCAAAAACTGGCCCCGCCCCCGCTCCACCCCCTGCTCCGCCCCCACCCTGCCTGCCCGCAGGGCCATTCACCGCCTCCAGGGCCTGCTGCAGATCGCCCAGCAGTGCCATGGCAGCCACACCCTCTGCCCACGCCCCGCAGCATCAACTATGTGCGATGGGGCGTGAGGGCAGAATCTTGTCTTCGCTGCCTGGCTGCCATGTCCTTGACTGCACTGCTCCGCGTGGGCCACGCTTGGGGCCAACCCTTCTCCAGGAGGGCTGCTGGTGAGGAGGGTGTCACGAGGGGAGGCAAGGTTGGGGCAATGGCAGGTGTGCCCACAGAGAGGACTCCGAGTGCCGCCTCTGGCATCCTTGCCATAGGTTCGCGACCACTGGCCCAGGGCATTATACTATTCTGTGACATAAAGAGTGTTCAAAATATTTTTAAGCTCTTAGGAATTCCTTTTTTCCTTTAGCCAAATCGACTCAATTTTTTCATTGCCCAGCTAAGGTTATATTCATAACTTTTATTTCTCTAGGTCTCATCAATAGGCTGTAGTCTGCTCTACACATACCACACAGACCTACCTGTTACAGAAAAATTGTCATTAAAAAAAAAAACCTTTAGGTTCTAGGTTAGAGAAAAAATATTTGAAATCAGATTAGTGACATCTTAATCCAGCTTTCTCTAAGCTGGAACTTTTCTAGTTTGCTAGCCATATGGCCTGAGAATTTTGAAGAGTTGAATTCCAATACTTCTTACAGTTTAGAGAAATGTAAAACCCACTTTCAAGTACTTAACTAAGCATACAGTAGAAGAGAGTTACAGCAATAGTCTTATTTATTTGTATGCTCTGCTAATACCAGTATATAACTAAGTTCCTTAAAGAGGTAGCTGATGCCTAATCCAATCCCCTTCTATTGATTTTCTTAAGGCAGAAAATAAAAGTTTCTAAGCCAAATACCATATAAGTCCTACCAGATATTGGATTTAATTTGATTTAAGCATTCCACTTTATCCTGCTTTTGGTGCATTTAGTAAGCTATCTGAATTTTGTTAGATTGCTATTTTAAATTGGTAATCTTTTCTTCATCAATCTTATTCCAATTGATTCTTTAAAGGTATCTTTAATTTAGAATTAAACATTCTTTAAAGAATGATGCAGGTTTTGTTCCAGGTTTAAAAAAAACTTTAAGGTTCGTTTAATTTTTGTTACAGCTAAGTTCTACTTTCATTCGGTGTTTTGTATATAGTCAACTGCCCTGACTATAGTTTAACGGTATTCTACTTGAAAGTTAATATGGTTGTTGTGGAATAAAGTGTTTTGTAGATTTGGCATATGTATCATTCTACAAAGAGACACAATTATAGGAATACAGTGTTTTTAAAAAGTGTCATTGCTTTTTTAATTTAATACATCTTGGTTTTCATCTTTGGAAAAAGCTTGCAGTAAAAAGTAAATTTACAATTTTAAATTCTCTCTTTCTAAACTCTTAAGGTTCGTCCTTGCTTAGGTGTTCTATCAAGACTGTTGTTTAGCAGTGACTCGGATGTATTAGCAGATGCTTGCTGGGCCCTCTCTTACCTTTCCGATGGACCGAATGATAAAATACAAGCGGTTATCGATTCTGGGGTTTGCAGAAGATTAGTAGAACTTCTGATGTAAGTCTTTTTAAATCAGATAATTATTGCAGCAGGAGAGTGCTGGAGAAGATAGGAGAAGGTGTTAAATTATACCAGCATGTCAGATACAGTTTCTCCATACCATATCCGCAGTACCTGCAGTGGTAGTTGTCTTTCTTGCCTCTATTCTCTTCTCTGAGACAGCAGGAATTCTACAGTTGGCAAATTCAAGATAGGCACAAGTATCCAGTTCATCTTATTTTTATCTATCAGCTTAGTTTGTGCCTGTATTAAGTAGTACATAGATACAAGGAATCTGCCACCAAATGTTGCAATACAGAGTGTTCCAATGTTAAAGGTCTAGCGATAACTAATTCCATTTGAAAAATTCTGTATTATTTTCCCACCCCCAAACACACAATGCACACTCTCTTTCACTCACACACAGGCAGACACACAAGAAGCAATTTTTTCATTTTCTTCTCACAGCATGGTTAGAATTTATGTCAATGGAAGAATAGAATAGAATAACAGACTTGGAAGGGACCTTGGAGGTCTTCTAGTCCAACCCCCTGTTTAGCCAGGAAACCCTATACCATTTCAGACAAATCGTTGTCCAATCTCTTCTTAAAAACTTCCAGTGTTGGAGCATTCACAACTTCCGGAGGCAAGTTGTTCCACTGATTAATTGTTCTAACTGTCAGGAAATTTCTTCTTAGTTCTAGGTTGCTTCTCTCCTTGATTAGTTTCCATCCATTGCTTCTTGTCCTGCCCTCAGGTGCTTTGGAGAATAGCTTGACTCCCTCTTCTTTGTGGCAACCCTTTAGACACTGCTCTCATGTCACCCCAGTCCTTCTCTTCATTAAAGTAGACATACCCAATTCCAGCAACTGTTCTTTATAAACCATTCTTTATCCTCCAGTCCCCTGATCATCTTTGTTGTTCTTCTCTGCACTTTTTCTAGAGTCTCAACATCTTTTTAACATTGTGGTGACCAAAACTGGATGCAGCATTTCAAGTGTGGCCTTACCAAGGCATTGTAAAGTGGTATTAATACTTCACGTGATCTTGATTCTATCCCTCTGTTAATGCAACCTAGCACTGTGTTGGCTTTTTTGGCAGCTGCAGCACACTGGTGGCTCATATTTAAGTGATTGTCCACTAGGACTCCGAGATCCCTCTCACAGTTACTACTATTGAGCAAGGTACCACCTATACTATACCTGTACATTTGGTTTTTCTTGCCTAAATGTAGAACCTTATTTTTTTCACCATTGAATTTCATTTTGTTAGATAGTGCCCAATGTTCAAGTCTGCCCAGATCCTCCTTTATCTTAAGCCTATCTTCTGGAGTGTTGGCTATTCCTGACAGCTTGGTGTCGTCTGCAAATTTGATGAGTTCCCCATCTATCCCCTCATCCAAATCATTAATGTAGATATTGAAGAGCACTGGGCCCAGAACAGAGCCCTGGGGCACCCCACTACACACTTCCCTCCATGTAGATGAAGTTCCATTGAGGACTACATGTTGAGTGCGGTTGGTCAGCCAGCTACAAATCCATCTGGTGGTGATGCTGTCTAACCCACATTTTTCTATCTTATCAAGTAGTAGGTTGTGATCTACTTTATCAAATGCCTTACTGAAGTCCAAGTAAATTATATCCACAGCATTCCTCTGGTCCACTAATTTTGTCACTTGGTCAAAGAATGCAATAAGATTTGTCTGGCATGATCTGTTTTTGACGAACCCATGTTGGCTTTTAGTAATGACTTTGTTTGCCTCTAGGTGTTTGCTGATTCGTTGCTTGATTATCTTTTCCAGAATCTTCCCAGGGATTGAGGTCAGGCTGATAGGTCTGTAGTTTCCTGGATTTATTTTTCCCCCCTTTTTTTGAAGATGGGAACTACATTAGTTCTTTTCCAGGCCTCTGGTAGTTCCCCAGTGCTCCAGGATCTTTGAAAAATATAGTTCAGTGGTTCTGAGATCACATCTGCCACTTCCGTCAGAACCTTGGGGTGTAATCCATCTGGTCCTGGTGATTTGAACTCGTTTAGTGTGGACAGGTGCTCAGTGACCATTTTCTTGTCTATTTTAACATGTTTCTAATCTGTTTTTTACAATACTGATAAGTTGGACTGTTTTTTCCCTTTGTGTTAAGATGGATGCAAAAAATGAGTTAAGTAGTTCTTTCTCCCTGTTGCTTGTCACCTTCTTGCCACTTTCTCCCGCTAATGGACCAATTGTTTCCTTGACTTTTTCCTTGATTTTTACAGGTGATTAGTCTTTATTGAACAATTCAGGGAGATTCAGTTGGCTTTCTTTTAGAGTTGATTTTATTGTTGATTTCGTTTTCTAGTGTAGAGATGTTACTCTTTACTATATAAAAAACATTGCTATTTGTATATGGCACCAGACTGAGAGCTCACTTGAATTATTTCAAGCAGACAGATTTTTTCCATTTCATTTCCTTCCATTTCATTTTTTTCCTTTCCATGCAACTAGAGCATTCAGAAGGCACTGATCATCTTCCTTGTTGATTTTATTTCTCAGAAGTTTAGTGGAGGTAGCCTTTGCTTTAAAAAAAATCTACAGGTTTCCTCCCCCCCTCCTTTTTTTTCTCTTTTGTTAATTAACTAAATACAAAAAGAAGAAAAAGGCTTAAAAGAGAAATAAAAACATACAGGGCATATATTCTTATACATACAGAAATACAGAAATAAAGTTGTATTGTACGGAGAAGCCACAATTCATTAGTCATCATAGCTAATCTATCAATTCAGACTACTGAATGATTGGAATCATATGTTTGTCTTTCCAGTGCTGAATAGTGAGTCTTTTGGTTATAAGTATACAAAAAATGTATACTTAAAATTTGTTTAATGTTAAAAGAAAAGAAAAAGATTCATATATACAATTACATACAATTTTGAAAAAAGCTAAAAAAGCTGTATGTGTTTCAGTTCAGAAGAAATGCTTTATGTAATATGTGAGAACAGATTTATCTGCATTTAATTAAAACAGCCCAACTTTTCTTCAGCTTCTAGTTTCACTGTTTTAAGAAGCCAATTTAAGAAGTCATTGAATCCCACCTCTTCAATATGATGATGCTGGGCTTTTGTTCTGCCGAGATAAAATATGATGGAGTTTTTTGATAATTGAATTATTAGTATAGGATCCCCAACCCCATATGAAGAGGTAGAAAGATTGATTGTATCAGGAAGAATGCATCTATATCTTTAACATATTTTAACAATTCCCTTGTTTAGGCACAATGACTACAAGGTTGTGTCGCCTGCATTAAGAGCAGTGGGAAATATTGTGACTGGTGATGACATTCAAACACAGGTAAACAAATTTTTAAACTTATTTCAGTGATCTTTCTGTCCTTTGAAAGATACAATAGAATCTTCTTACCTGAACGTATCAGATATAGGGTATATCATAGCCTTGATTCAGGCATTTACCCAAAAGCTAAGAAAGTTCATAGAGCATGGGAACTATTATTCTTGAAATAAATTTATCAGTATTCAACTGGGAAGACAGTTTATGTGTTTGGGGGTTTTTTTAATGCACATTTTTTGTCTTGTTTAGTTTTGCTTTGTTGTTTGCCTTTTTGTTCTGTTGAACTATTGTATTGCAATCTCAAAGTAGTAGTAGACTTGCAAAATGTGAAGCATAAAAGTAACTGTAAGAGTTGTCGCCTGTTGTGGTGTGCAGTATAGTCCCTTTGCACTGCAGGACTGGCTAGAATTATTTTCATTTCACATAGGTCCTGCTTTTTTGAATATAGATAGCAATTTAATAGTACAGTGGTATCTCGGTATTCATCGCTGATTCTGGAAGGCGGGATGGAATACCAAAAATCATGAGTACCAAACAATTTTTTCCTATAAGTAAATCACAAGGCACGCAACACTGACAAGTTATAGCTTGTGCATTGAGTACCAAACAAACAATTAGTACTGAGTACCAAATTTGATGAGCTTCAAAGCAGCTGAATCCCAAGGTACAATCATAGTTTCTTATGTACCTTTTTTTCTCCTTTTGTGTTAACATCTGTCTACCTTCATGCTTAATTTTTATTGGGATCTGGAACAGATTTTTCAGAAAACATAGCGTGTCTTTTTTTCTGTACATATAGTGTTCAATGAAACAGTAATTCAATCTGTAAGTATTATGTTATTTCAGCTATATGGAATGTACTTTATTTTACATTGTTTAGGCAGAACTTTTCATCTTTCAAATTATTTTAGGTAATTCTAAATTGCTCTGCATTACCCTGTCTCTTACATTTGCTGAGTAGTCCCAAGGAATCTATTCGAAAAGAAGCATGCTGGACAGTATCTAACATCACTGCAGGAAACAGAGCACAAATTCAGGTAATGTATTCAGTTGCCTTTGTTAGGCATAATTATTTTTACCCTTAACCTTTTTTTTTTTGGGGGGGGGGGTCTTCTTCTGTTCCTCAACCCCATTTATTTTTGTTTAATCTATCCAGCACGCAGTGAATAGTGCTGGATGGGTGGGAAGGGACGGGCAGCTTTATCTGAAGGTTATGCAGTCAATATAACTTGATATCTATATCTTTAGATGTCCAGTAAACCCATACGTAGATTGCTTGTATAATTACTGCAAATTTCTTGTTATTTTTTTTCTTTTCTGTTTTGTTTTGTTTTATTTATATGACTGAAGTAATTGTATCAATTTACATTATTTGTATGTGTTGCTTCATAGATGATATAAACTCAGGCAGTTTTGCAATAATATTTTTATTATATGGTGATCAACTCCAATTTTTTTTTCCTGGTACATCCAGGATCCATTGAATGAGTGTCTATGAAATTGAGAGTTTATTATAAGTTCAGTATTTGATTACTCTATTGACTTCAAGAATTTTCAGAGGTTATTACATTATTATATATATTTTTTCCTTTAGGCTGTTATAGATGCGAATATATTTCCAGTATTGATTGAAATTCTTCAGAAAGCTGAATTTCGTACTATAAAGGAAGCAGCATGGGCCATCACTAATGCAACATCAGGAGGGGCTCCTGAACAAATTAGGTAATAAATTGCAGTTGATTCACAGCAATGCTGATAGTTGAAATGTTTTCATTTAGTAAGGGAACTTTTCCCAACCTGATGTTCCCTGATAGTTAGGACTATTGCTTACAAATTCAAATGATAACTGTAGTTTGTTAAACTTGTATGCCACCGCCCCTCACTCTCGGCACCCAACGCTGTAATGACTGAGTCAATCTGGAGGGCACCAGTTTATGAAAAGCTGCATCAGGGAATCATAGTATGCCTTGAATACCTTTCCTGTATTCCTTATTTGTGTGTGTGTGTGTGTATGTATATGTTGTGTATATATGTATATGTTTGTAAAAAGGACATACTGATCTCCGGGACATAAAATTTATTTCGTACTGAGCTTTCGTTAGCTACTGCTAACATTATCAAAGAGTAAGCCAACATTGGAGAGACATTGTTTTTATAGCCCTTTAACTACCAATAATTTAGCCATCGAACACGTAATAGGCCCGTCAGTTCGCCGACCACATGTAATTGGATGCGTCACATCCAGCTCAGCTGTATTAGTTGACATATCTATAGCTCTCATTGTCCTGCCTCCCACCGCGTCCATTCACGTTGGAAATGAAAGTTTGTTCATAGATCATTCGGATTTCAGATCAGTCGGTTTTAAAAAAGGTGCATTGTTCGGTTCTGGGATAAAATTATTTATATGTTAACCATATCAGGAGTGTTTCTTTTAGTAGCATAATGTTTTCAAAATTATATTTTTAATATTTTTTATTGAAAGCATCCTTGTATGTAGATTACTACAGTCAACAAAAAGAAAAAAACTGACTAGTTATATTCCATCCTCTTTTTTCCCCCTTCTTTACAAAAGTTACTTAGTGGCATTAGGTTGTACCAAACCTCTATGTGATCTTCTGACTGTGATGGACTCTAAAATAGTCCAGGTAGCCTTGAATGGACTTGAAAACATATTGCGACATGGAGAACAAGAATCAAAGCAAAATGGAATTGGAGTGAATCCTTACTGTGCCCGTATAGAGGAAGCATATGGTAAGAAGTGATAACTCAATGCCACAGCAAGTACTAATATGGGAATATTTCTATTCAAAAATTGTCAACGCTGTGCAATGTGCAATGCTGTAGACCAGTGATGGCAAACCTTTTAGAGACCGAGTGCCCAAAAACTGCCCCCCCGCTCCACCCCCTGCCCTGCCCCTGCCACTGCTCTGCGCCCACCCCGTCCCCCACCCTACCTGCCCACAGGGCCACTCACCGCCTCCAGGGCCCGGCGCAGATTGCCCAGACAGCCCAGCAGCGCCATGGCGGCCACGCCCTCTGCCCATGCCCCACAGCATCAACTGTGCGGGATGGGGCGTGAGGGCAGAGTCTTGTCTATACTGCCTGGCTGCCATGTTCTTGGCTGCACTGCTCCATGTGGGCCACGCTCGGGGGCGACTCTCCTCCAGGGGGGCTGCTGGTGAGGAGGGGGTCGTGGGGGAAGTGAGGCTGGGGCAACAGCATGTGTGCCCACAGAGAGGGCTCTGAGTGCCGCCTCTGGCACACGTGCCATAGGTTCGCCACCACTGCTGTAGACTTTTATGTAGGGAAATGATTCCTAATAAACATAAGATTTACTGTTAAATAACAACATGTAAGTTTGGATTGCAAGTCTCTTGTTTACTATTCTGGGAGTTGTCAAGAAATGTCTTTATTTTATCTGTTTATGGAATTAAGAGCTGTTTATTACTGAGCAGTGCTTGACTGTATTGAGCAGCATAGATCTTACTTGTCTCTCTCTTAATTCTAGGACTGGATAAAATTGAAATCCTTCAAAGTCACGAAAACCAAGAAATCTACCAAAAAGCTTTTGATCTCATTGAACATTATTTTGGCGTGGAAGAGGAAGATGCAAACATTGTGCCCCAAGTGGATGAAAACGAGCAGCAATTTGTGTTCCAGCAACAGGAAGCCCCCATGGAGGGGTTCCAGCTGTAACCCTTTGCTCGAAGGACAGGAGCACTTTTGTGGTGGCCTTCATTTGCTGCCCTGATGGGGAATGTTTTGCGGAAAGAAGATAAAGGAGCAACTTATGGACTCAACATGTGCTTATTTTTTTTTCTATTGTGTGTTGCCATTGTCTCGTTTCTAGAAATACCAACTATTCACAAGGTACAAAATAATGTTACCTAGCTTGAATTCTCACCTTAAAGCAGACAGCAGATTCTGAGTTTTCAAGCAGTTGTTAAAATTGCACCATTATCCATAAACCGCTGTGATATTTTGGATTTTGGCGGTGTGGTTTATATATGCCCAAGCTACACTAAAATCTACCTCTATTCCTTGGAGCCAAAAAGATGTTTCAGAACTATAGACAGGAGCTCCTAGTAAATGTTAAATTTAGAATGTGAAAATTATTTATTTAAATAGTGAAAATATAGTTTTATTGTGATACTTTGAGACAAACTGGGGAAATATATTTAAAAGCAACACTTCTAGGAGCACGTTGCTGGTTACATACCATAACAATAAGTGTTATGTCAAAAATACAGTATTTCTGCTGTTTAAAAAGAGGTAGCCAGTTTCAATTTGTAGTTCATCCAGACTTGTTCCTAGTTAATGTAAAGGAAGTTCCGTAGTCCTTTTTAATTTCTGTGGAATTGCAAAAGTTGCCAGTGCTTGAACTAACTACTACAGCTGATTTTTTAAACGACAGGTTGATGACATGATGTGGAAAGCTTTATCTGCTAATATTTGTCCATTAAATTGCTGGAGTTTTTTTCTACCTAGTATGAACTTATCAATTAGAAAAGTATGTTTATATTGTAATGATTATTGTAAGGGAACTTTCTATACTAGGAATTCTGAACTGAAATATCCATGTTTAACTTAAAAGCTACTAAAGTGTGTGAGGTTGCAATATACCTTTTAAAGAACAAAATTAGATTATTTATTTACACAGTGTATTGTGTTTGACCAAATATATGAATGCATTATAAAAACCCCTTTTTAAATGTTTGGCAATTTTTTCTAACTTATTGAAAACAGATCACCAAAAGTATATTTTCTAACAGACAGCAGTAACACTGGGGAAAATCATTTTCCAATTAATTGAAGGAAAGCACTTGAATATACAATTATCTGTGACAATATATGTAAAATAAGTTTATATAATACTGGTGAATTTTATTTTACACTAGATTGAACACTTGAGACTGTTTGTTTTAGAGTCTGAATATTATATGAATTGGGAAGGGTGTAGCCCAGTTCAAGTACTCTGATAATTTTGCTTATCAGAAATGTCTTGGTCTGTATAATACTTTTTAAAAAGTTATGTATCATACCTACAAGTGATTGCCTTTTTAAAATACTGTGTAAATTTCAAATTCATGTATCAAATTTTCAAAAAGTAGTTTGCATTCAGTGAAATACATGTTCACTCATGAACATGTATTTGAGTTAAAATACTGCTCTTTTTGTCATATATTCAAGTTCCCCAAGATTGATTTGCCAAGGAAAATAAGTCATAATTGGCCATTGTGCCATGCATCTTATGTCATTGTTACAGACACCCCTTTGTTTCAGTGCTAGATCAATATTAGAGATTTCTGAATGAAGCTGTTAGATTACTTAGTTTTCATGTGGGTCAGGAATAAAAGACTAAAGTGCTCAATTCAGCTGCTTCCTGCATTAACTCTACTGTCATGGCCTGTGGAACTTGTTCTATATTTCCATTGTAGTAGCTGACATATATATTTCTACTACATACAAGATTCACTGCAACATGACCCATAGCCTTCACAAAGGCAGTATAACAATAATATTTACTCACAAAGAATTGTGGAAGTACCGCTTGCCTTGGAAAATATAAGCTTATATGTATGAATAGAGGATCATAACTGAGGAAGCCACCTCATTTGGAAACTTGCTGGAAATACAGTGCAAGATATAAGAAGTCTGCTTAAATCTGCAGCTAGATGTCCTATATCTATCAAGGGATAATGGGATTTGAGTATTAGGGATGTTTTATAACCATTTGTATCATTCATTCCAAGTACAGTTTAAATTTGCCAATTGAAACTGAATTTATCAGAATTACTCTAGAATGTTAAAAAAAAAAAAGAGGTTGTGACAGGGTATACCGTTGTTTGTTTGCTTATTTGCATTACACAAATTACCAGTTGTGCCTGCTCTTAATTTCCAAATGAATAAATAAATGCTATCAAAGCATTTTTATCCAAACAAAATGTAAGATTACATATGATTTAGAAAAAGTAAAAATCTCAAATGTGAATGAACACAACTGTTTCGAAATTTCATCGTATAGATCATGAGTATGATAATTTCTGTATATTGCTAAAGACATAATTTTGACCTTAATTTTGAATGCTTAAGTATTAGTATTGGGTCACCATCAAATTCTCTTACAAATGACATTTAAAAACATTGCATGATTTAGAAAGATTTCAGGAATTGGCCCTTTAATAGAGGAGGTATCAACAGCATCTACAGAAAAAAATAATCCTAAATAGTACATCTTTGAACAATTTAAAAAAGATTTCAGATTTAAGAATTCCTTCCTAGTTCAAGTTGACACATTCTCATGTAATGGCCTGAATTTGACAAGACTTTAAACTATGCAACCATGCCAAGTATGTATTTCAGATACAAAATATAATGTGCTTTTACTCAAGCAGGTTTACATTTAGAAAATAGATGGATTATGGTCTTAAAGCAAAGTACAATTACTTTTACCTATTATCTCAGTTGGATTTATTTGCTGACGCCTTATTTACATTTTGTTATATTAATGAACTAAAAATGTATTTAGAAAAATGTGTATTATGAAACTGCTAAAGAATTGAGATGAGATCTATAAAAATACACAATACTTTTTTTATTGTGTTTCAAATGATCACCTGTAATTTATTGCATCTGACAAACTACAGACTGAACAAATCTACAAATAAGAACAGTATGCAATATTAGGGAATGTTACTCAACACTACAATGCAAAATTAATAAATGTATTTTACATGATACGCATTGTGTATATTTATTTTGGCTGGCAGATTCAGACTCCTGTGCAAACTTGTGAGAATCTCTGATTGATCTCAGTAGAATTTAATTGCTGATACATGAGAAAACATTTTTTTACTGCAGAGTTTTCCAACCCATGTCTTAGAAACTGCCTTAGAAACAGGCTTGTGGTTGGCAATGCCAAACATGCCAAATTAGAGGTGGACATAAGGTGGAAAATCTCTCTCTCTCTCTCTCTCCCCCTCCCTCCCTCCCTCTCCCTCTTTCTTTCCTCTCTTTCGTCTCTCTCTCTTTCCTCTCTTTATCTCTCTTCTCTCTCTCTTTCTCCCTCCCTCTCCCTCTCTATCTATACAAGATATATAATTATATAGGGTATATAAAATAAAAGGTACACAAGTTCTGCCTAGGGGCAGGGGATTGGACTAGAACACCTCCAAGGTCCGTTCCAGCCCTATGATTTTATTTTATAGTTGTGTAAGATAAGGAAGGACTTTTAACTTTAAAAGCCCTGCAACCTATGTTGGACTCTGAAAGACTCTCCTTGAAAAGCTATAAGTCAGTGGTGGCAAACCTATGGCACGGGTGCCAGAGGCGGCACTCAGAGCCCTCTGTGGGCACGCGTGCTGTTGCCCCAGTCCTAGGCCTTCAGCTGGGTTTTATAAAACCTTTTTGCTTTAGGCCTCTGCCGCCATGTGCAAAAAAAAGGTTCAACCAGTCAATTTCAACTTCTCAGGAAAATAAAGATCTTGCAAAGTTGAAATTGATTGATTGAACTTTTTAGTCCCACCCAGTCTGCCATTACCACTGCGGCCACGCCCACCCAATGGGCCATGTCCACCCAATGGCCACACCCACCCGGCACTTGATGCATAAGTGGGTTTTGGGTTGCAGTTTGGGCACTCAGTCTCTAGAAGGTTCGCAATCACTGCTATATGTGAATAAATAATATTGCCTGATCTGTCCCCAGCACAGATTCTTTTTTTATTGCCTGGGGTGAAATGCTGAGATTCCCCTGCCTAGACATAGAACTACTGAAGGCAATTAGTCCTCTGCAACTAACTTTCAACTCCACCCTATTTGATTTTTTAAAAATTATTTAAGGTATAATTTATACCCACTGCATTGCATCATCTTAGCATTGCCTGATGCCTTTTCAAGATATTGTTGGTTTGGAAATATAACAAAAGCATAAACCATATCTACTCGCAAGATAAGGTAATATCTTTTTTGTTATCTGTGGGTCAAGAACAGCCTCATAATTTGAGACCCATCTTGGATGGTTCTTTGATCTAAGGAACAGAGGCAGCAGACTTTGAGGAGAAACCCAAAGGATTCATCCAGAGGGCTTATCGGGGTCTTGCAAATCCAACAACCTTTAACAATGCACCACACTGAGTCGTGGGACAGTTGCTGTATAATAGTAGATAAATGTGCAGTTATACATGCAACTTCACCCAATTGTTGCTGTTTCTTATAAGCAATGGATGGCCAATACTATTGTGAGCTGCCAGAGTTGTGTTGCATAAGATGAGTGGCCAATATACTGGTAAGTCTTTTAACTAAGTCTCCTGGGGATTTAGATGGGACAACAGGCAAGATTTTTACTTATAACTGAAGCCGCTGCCTCAAAGCACTAGAAAAGGGATTACTGAGGCTTAAATACAGTGGAATATTGTATTATCATAATAGTACAGTATCTAGCATAAAAGACAAGTGGCTATAGATATGTACAATTTTTCCCACCTCCAACATAGCAGCAATTTGTACTTTGTCCATAAGAGGGCAGTGTTCAATAAATCTTGCAATTCTTTTCTGCTACAATCCTTCATTTTTGGCTTATAGAGAGCTGGTAATGTGTTGGTTTTGCAAACCAGCCCACACTGTTTCTTACATCTGAAGACATTAATAAAATTCCTGTTAAAGATGAGCTTGATATTAAATCTTTACCCATAAAAGAGCACTATTGCTAAGTAGCTGGTTCAGCTTACACTTCTATTGGCTGCTGCAAGTGCGTATGGGACTAAAATGGTGGCTATTGTGGGGAGGCCATTTGGAAACAAAACTGTCAGGGAATGTGACATCAACAGAAGTACCCCAAACAGTAATGAATCTGCACAAACATTTTTTTTTGGGGGGGGGGGAATTGTGTGAACAAACTGTACAACTCATTCTCTTTTCACAACTTAAACATTCTGCTATAGCTCATTTTTTCTACTGTGAAAAAGACAAAAGATCAAAAGATTGTTGACCCATTGGACATATAGCTCCTTATTGATCATATGCTGTCCCCTAATAGCTCAATCAAACTCCTTGATCTTGCAAACATCTTGCTTGTAAAGAGATACCTGTAGAACCCCTAACCACTGAGTTGCTCCACAGAAATTTCCAATTTAATCTATTTTTCATCCCCAAAGAGATGTGTCACCTTACACAACAACAAAGCACTGGAATTTTTTTTTGCATTTCTATAAAAACAATGCAGTTATTGGTTATTCATCATTCCCCTCTCCAGAGAAAAGTATTCCAGAAAAAGATAAATTTAAATCTTTAAGGGGAGAGTAATTATACTCTTTCTTTTATAACGAGAAGTTTCTGTTCACAAAAATATCCATTCCAACAATGATGAAAGAATAGCCATTTTATTAAATGTGAGGGTCTGTTTCGAAACCACAAGTTCAGATTTCAGGCTGTTTAGCTTTGAACAGCAAATATTTAACACTGAAGACTTGTGAAGTATTGGTAACAGGCATTTACAAATATTTACAAGCATGTACGTATATACATTCAAATGTTTCTGCGTATGTGTCTGTATCTGTATGTAATGATAAATACACACATGCACATGCATATGTACTACACAAATATGTATACACAGAGAGGGAGAGAGGGAGAGAGAGAGAGAGAGAAATAACTTTTCAAAGGTAAAAAGAATACGCCCACAGGTATTCACAGTGTAATCCCTTCCAAAAGTAAATCCCTTTGAGCTCCACCCGTAATATCACAACAGAAGTTTTTCAACAGAAGTTACATTAATTCTTTTATAAATGTTAATCTGTGTGTGTGTATATATTCTTGACAAAAAAG